TTTTTGGCCTTCTGCGATAGCTGGTAAAATGAAGCCAGACTTTCATATTTGGATCTGCCTACCATATCGACGGAGGGACATCCGCTAGCGTCATCTCATCTCTGGCCAATGAGAAGACGTCGGACTCTAGCGCTTTGCTTTGCTAAGGTACGCTTGACATGTCGACTGCATCTCTTCACCACCACCACATCCATCCATCTCCAACCGGCTCATCCTACTGATTTTTCCAACTTCCGCATCGAATCTTGGAAAGAACGATCAACACGCTCTCAACCCATGACGTCTTCAACAGCGGAAATCTACTAATTTGATGACGAATGGTGTGGGTTGCCGTGAAAGATGTAAGGTACTTGCCCGCTTCATTTTCCGCTTTTCCAAAACCGAATCGAACCCTGCGAGCGAGATGGATGGACCGGAATGCATTGAAATTCGGCCAGCAGTGGATGGATCTTCAAGAGTCTCTACCCGTGAAGGATACCAAAAGAAAGGCTGTGATGCCGGGTGTGCGGCTTCCCCGAAAAGCTCCCCGATCTCTGTCTGCCCCTGACTTGCCTGACTGACGCGTCTGGAGCACGCGTGCGCCTACATGTAAAGCCGTGAAAGCTTCGAGGTTCGAGTGGAACGCTTCATCGCTCGCGTATTTGCGCCGAGGAGGGGTAAGGAGTAGTGGTGTTGTCATTCGCGATATATATATATGGCTCTCGAAAATCAGAGACTCACCCCGACGTCCACTGGGGGTAAATATCCGCCTAAGCTGAAAGATGCCAGTTAATACAACTTTTAGTCCTCCCTTTCCTCATCCTTATCCTTATCCTGACCTAACCTAGGTGACCTCCTCGAAGCCAACGTTCGAAGCCTCATACTTACACTCCAGGGCACTGCATCCCAAGCGGCGGAGAACTTCGCGGAAATCCTCGAGATAAATCCGGAGTCTGAGGCGACGACGACGGTCTTGTGGCAGACACACGCTTCGGATTCGCGCGCCATCGATTTCAAAACGCGTGCTTTGACATCGATCGAGAGCTATATTTGAAAAAATCTTGGAGAACGTGTTGCCAAGGCGGGGTACCGGACGACATGTACATCTCATACGAATCCTGGAATTGCAATGGGTTGGATTCATGCATGTGCTTGAAGGCATGCGAGAAATTCTGCATAAAGAACATAAGTTTTTTTTTTTTCCTTTCAGCAACTATCGATCACGGTCTAGGTTGGTTTGACGGAGACATCACCGTCCGTTGAGTCGCATATGCAGGAATGCAACGTCGTGTAGTCTGCTCTTGTCGGGTTGTTGCTGCGAATGGAATGCCCGTAATATTTGAGGCACATACCATGCGAAGCAGAATCATATGTACGGTTGCGACCAGGCTGGCGAAGAGAGCGTTCATGATCATGTTGGGCGGTCAACACCCCCATGCATGTACCGTCATCCGTAGTCGATGGCTTCCGGCGCTTGAAATACGTGCATCAGCCTCATACGGTCTGGATCGATCGATGCACTTTGTCTCGATCGATCAAGTGAGCGCGAAAGAAACCGAATTTCAGATCCCCACGATGGCGGATGTCCACCGCACGGCAGATAGGCCTCTAGCTTGGATCAGCTGCGCAGATGCCGAAGACGACGACGACGAACGGAACAGAACGATGGGAAACAATAATGTCACTTTCCCTTTCCTTTCCCATTTGTATCGCATGCGGAATGCGTGGAAGCTGGTGATGATAATGCGTCCCTATGTAATACCTGTCAACCACACCCGGACGGATGGAAACTTGCAATGGGTTTGATCGGGGAGATTTTCATCTTCGTACGGTACTAGAGAACCTCGCGCGGGAGATTTTTGGATTCTATCCTATTTTCTGACTTCGTTGCGCTGCTCGCGGATGATAAGCACCGACTGGCTGGCTGGCTGGCTGGCTGGTTATAAATAAGGATGAGAAATCCGAGTGTCCTTTTCTTGGGGGCACAGCGAGCGGTATGGTTATTCTGATGACCACATGAACTACGCCGCTCGTGACAGCGCTACCTACTCGTATGCTGACCTCGCGCACGTCTGCGAGCCAGATCTACTACTGGGAGCATCGAGCCTCGACTCTCGCAGGAGGACTCTGCTCTGCTCTTGCCACTACTACATCCCATTCCTGGATCGACTTGCCGCCTCGATTAGGAATCCTAGATGGCCTTGCATGCCTACGACGTTCGGGCTGGCCGGGAGGAAGAGCCTTGCCCTACAGAAGCACTCATGATACGTGTGGTCCATGGTTGGTATCCGAAAATCCACGAGACGGCTTTGTTAAAACTACTCCCCGACCTCAGCATCAAACCGAGCAAGGCCACCCGTATCCACCCGCCCCGCCGTAACCAGCGAATGAATCAGTATAGATAGACCGTTGTCGAGGTCGAAAAAACTGATTCAGATGCCCTGAGCGAGCGACATGCCACACTTTCAATTTCCATCCAATTCTCTTTCTTAAAGGGTAAGGAATCTTTGACACGCACTCCAAAACTGGCCAGCTTCGTAACATTCCTTCCCAAATCCTCTGATATCTTAATAAGTCTCAGAAATTGAAATGTTTCTCTCTCTCTCTTTTCTTCTCTCTTCTTATACAGGAACCCGATTCATTCGTCAGATAACGATAGCGATAAGACAGACAGAAGGAGAAGGAGAAAACGGTCTCTACTTCCTTTTCCATTTTCAATTGGAAAGGTTTATGTGTCGAGAAAATTAGCATGCTCCGAAAAGACAAGACAAGACAAGACAAGACGAACCCCCATCTTCTTTCAGCTACGCGGAATTCCAGTTCCAGTGAGTGCGACACCATGTCTTCCTCTCCAAGTCCGAAGAAAAGATTGTTCAAATCTCCAGATCTCCAGATATCTAGAAATCCGAACAGGACCCCGCGCGCGCGCGATGTAGCGGGCCTAGAATGGGGCATTACGCGCAAAAGTCCGCTCCAGAGGGACAAATTTGGACCTGCAGGCCGATCGGAAAAGAAGGGAATGGAAATGGAAATGGAAAGGAAAAGTGGGCAGAGAAAGGGGTTCTGGATGAGAGAGTGTGTTGGGACGGGTATGGGGGAGGGACAGGATGAAGTGTACTACTGTACATTTGACAGCGGTATGGAAGATTATACTACAGCAGTTTCCTTTCCGGGGTATTATGACGCGTGCGTGCTTTGCCCCGAAAGGAGAAAAAAAAAAGAAGCAAAGCGGGGGACCATACGCTGTCGATGTGATGTGATGTAATATAGAGGATTCATACCAGTTCCATCTTTCTCCGTCGTGTTACAACGTGTTTCTGTCTGTGCTTCATCCATCCATCTAAGGAGAATTGTGCGGTTCTGTACACAATGTATTCGATAGGGCATGTAGGAGGTGATCAGCCTGCCTGATTGGCAGCCGCAATGACACCCAGGCCGGTTCCTCCATACGGAGAGTCTGCCGGATCCATCGGTGCGTCCTGGTCTCGTGATGCTCCTTCTTCCTCTTCTTCGTCATCGTCGTCGTCGATTTCGATGGTTTCGGTCTTTCCGCCGGGTGCTTGATTCGTGTTGTTGTTGGTGGCGGGAGGACCTGACATGCCGCTCGATGCGGGCCGAGCGGGGTCTTGAGACGTCGAATCCCGTACAGAGTCATCGGCCAGCTCATTCTCCTCGCCCATGCCGTCGACTTCGGGCCAGATGCGCTCCCACAGGAAAATGACCTGTTGGTATTGCAGTTCGCAGCGAGTCAGTTGCTCGCGACCGCTGCCGGTTGTTTCTGCGTTGGCGAGCTCGTCGACAATGGCGCGGCAGGCGTCGACGAATTTGCTGAATTCGCGTGAGGTCCAATTCGGGATCAGGGCTTCTTGCAGTGCGGCGACGTGTTGGTCGTTTCCGGTGTTGGTGCGTGCAGTTTGGGGGCCGTTGCCGTAAGGGTCCATGCTGTTGTGTGTGAGGTAGGAAGGGACGGAGTAGTTGGAGGAGGGGACGGTGTTTGCAAATGTGGAAGCGTATTGCCAGGAAACGCAGTAGCACTGTCGTTGAGTCAGTGAGGCGCGTGACGAACAAAGACGAATGGAGAACTCACGTGCTCAGTGACCCAGAGTGCCACCATGCCTTCGAGCAAGCTCGCTCGTGGGTCCGATACGCTTGCGAGAAGATCGACGTACGCCTTGGTGATGGGAGACGGCGGCTCTCCATCGGTCTTGATGCCGTATTTGCGCTTCGTGGACTCAATGAAATCGAGTTCTTTTCTGAGGTTGCTGATGGTGGAGATGAGGAGGTCGAGTGCGCGGTATTGGGTGTTTTGCTTGCTGTTTGGTGTCTCTGGGAGCCTCACTTTGCCGATGAGGGAGCCAATGAAGCCGATCATGGCGCGCGAGATGTGACTGTTCTGACCGAGCCAGTTCGAGAGGGCACCAGCCGACAGAGTGCCGCAGCCAGCATGTGATAGGAACTGCTGCTGCGTTGCTTTGCTGAGCTTGTCCGGCCACTTATTCAACAGATGGGACGCGAGGGAGGGCGCAGGCCGTGGTGGCGGGCCCATCCGGCTGTTTGGTGTGTTTGCGAAGACACCGTTGGCAGGTCGTGATTGATTACCCGGGGCGCCGACAGCGATATTCGGATTGGGGGCACTGCCACGCCAGATGTCGTTTCCGCCGGCAGGATTTCCAAAAGATGGACGTCCCATACCGCCAGCCGCGGCAAGCTCGAGCTCTCCGTTGGCGAGGGCCTGTTGGCCTTCGGTCGAGGCGAGGAAGGGCTGGCAATCCCCGAGGTGCTCGACTTGTCGGGTCGTGTTCTTGGCTCGCACGAAGCCGCATGACAGGCATCGCACGCGCATGCACTGTTATCCGCAGTCAGTAAGTTGTCGATGGCAGGACGATGTAATGTGTGTAGGTATATCAAGTCGCTCTCATCCCACGCAGCATGTGCGAGCGTGACACGGACTTCGCATTGACTTTGGATCTTGTATGGATTGTTGTATAGACGAAATAGGAGCTTACTCACCTTCTGAGCGGAATCGTTGTCGTAGAACTCGTCGAAGTACTACGCGAGGTTAGCAGGGAGGGGAAGGATTAGGTTGGATCAGAGTGCATGGTGACCTTGGTAATATCTGTATCGCATGTCAGTAAGGTGTGAGATCGTGTGGTATTGACGGGGAGATGAAGATACCGAGATTGCGACCGCGGATCATGGTCTGCGGTTGTTGCTCGTTGCCGCCGCCGCCGCCGCCGCCGCCGCCATATGGCGAGGAGTAGAGGTATGGGTTGACGGCGCTGCACGAGATATGCATCGTTGTCAGCGTTGATTTGGGCGATGCAGGGTAATTCGCGTCGGGGTCGGTAGGAAACGTACCCGGCCTCTCCGCGGTCCCACGCGTTTAGCGTCGAGGAATCCCGCTTATTGTACTTGTTAGGGGGCGCCAGGTCCTGTCCATTTCCCGCCGCCCGCCACTGCGCATACTGCGTGCAGTTCAGGAGATGCGCCTTCTTGCGGTTCAGCGTCTTGACCGACCCCGTCCAGTTGCGGCAGTGCACGCACTGCACCGTCTCGCCCTGGTGGTCGCTGGCCACGCTCTCGAACTGCGCGTGCGTGTAGAGGTCCGGCGGGCGCGGCATCTCGGCGCGGACGACGACGACGACGGCGCTCGGTCGGTGGGAGATGAAAGGGACAATGGCAAATAATCAACAAGTGCAGAAGACGGCAACAACAATATTGAATGAATTGGGCAGATTCGACACGCGCGCGCCCTTCTTGGTGAGTGTTGATAACTCGTGTCGATTTGGAGGGAGGAGTAAAAGACAGCGCACGGCAAAACGCGACGAAATCCCTTGGCAGGCGCTTACGTACATGTACCTAACTTGCCCCGAGCTCCCCGCCAAAAGTCGTCAGCGGTAACAGCTGTGAAAGCGAAGTTATCATCGCTTCACCTCAAATACCCCATATCTGCTCCGCTGTCCGGAATTGTACGGTCCGGAATTGTACGGTTCAGCGTCCATGTTGCACGTCTGATGGTCTGGATATTTTGGTATAGGTGAGCATGTCACGAATGGCAAAGCATACTCAGAACATGATGTGCTCGTGCTCTCGGAGAAGTCTTAGCAGAGGCACCACCCATCGAAGTCTCTCCGAACCGGATCGACATCAACTGGGGACACCAGTCCTGATGCATCGAACACACGAAAGAGCCACCAAGAGCCGAGAACACAGAAGGGGTGAGTTCGGTGAGACAGATCTTAGACTATCGCGCAGTGTTGATCACCACCATACACTCATAGCAAGCAGACCTGACGCCAAACGATCTGTCGCGAATCCCAATACCACGCAATGCAATCCCATGAACCGGCCGCAAAACGCAATGATACCACAATCCTCAACCCCCGCGGTCTAGAAACCGGGAAAGACCGTCGCAACACCACCAACCAATATCACGCCCGCCGAAGTGAAGGACCTGCTTCCAGCCGCCGCATTCGAAATTCCCGATCCCATGGCAGTAGGCGTCCTCGAGGGAGGAGTCGTCGCATTCGTCGTCGTCATCGTCGCATTCCCCGTCCCAACAAGCCGCGCAGCAGTACTCGTCCTCGTACCACTCGCAAGCGCACCGCAATCCCCGCAACAAATCCATGCGACTTGCACCGCATTCGTCGCCAAGTCGTTACGCGGCGCATTGAATTTCACATCATGTATCCATTCACGTCGGCGGCGGCGGCGTTTCCGCCTGCCGCCCAGATGGAAGTGGCAAAGATCTTGGGGAGGGCCATGTTGCTGTTCCAGTTCAGGAAGTTGAACGTGTTGACCGTGTCGTTGACGCCGGGGCCCGTTTGGTAGGCGATGGCGGTTTGGGATTGTTGGCCTTGGCCGTTGGGGAGGGCGAGGGTGGACGCGCTGCTGGCAAGAGTGGATGCGAGGAATTGGGAGAACATGATTATGGTAGTGAGAAGATTTGTGTGCAAGATTGGGTCTTTTGAGGTCAGAACGACTGTTCCCGATAGATTGACGCGTAGACGTTGATTGTTGACGACGAAGGCAAAAAGGAAATCGGCTTGAGATGCGCTTGAGTCTGAGATGATTCAGTCTCTAGATTCCATAAAGCGCTTTATACCAGCCAGGTTCGACGCCCTGTTTGGTGTCACCGAAATTGAGCGCATTTGTTTTGAAGGCTGGATCCTGGCGTGTGGCCGTGAAATTCATACAGCTGAGCGCCTTCGAGATCAGGTGACATGGGAGAGATTTGGTCGACTCTTTCACGTGGCTCGGCCTCGCGACATGCGCTACTAGCTATCGGGATGTATATCCGGGTATGATGCTCGCTGATCAGTGGTGTAGTGGACGTCGGAGCAAGAGGTAGCCCTCGCCTTGGCTGCGAACTTTGCTTTAGAGCACATCTTGACGAGCTGAATTTGATCCGATGCCATGCTGGAGACGCCGCAAGTCTCTCTGCCACGCGGACAGGACCTTGTTGATGTCGGAGACGCGAGCTACTAGTAGATGCATCTCCGTGGGTTCCTGCTTCATGTTTATTAGATTTGTCCTCGTCTGCCCGTGGATTGACTGAGCGATCAGCTCGGTTACTCTGCCTTAGAAGTAGTATGAAATTGTCGTAGTGCTTCGCATAAACCGATCGGTTGTGTAGCCCGCGCATTGTAGCCGGCGGAAGCTTGTATATTAGCAAAGACTTCGTCTCGCAGCCTAGTCAAGAGGAATAACAATTCAGTGGCACTTCAAATGTTCAGCAGGAAACCATCGTCACCTTTGCGAACCTTCCAAATGGAAGTTAGAAGATAAGGCACACACACAAGAGTTTGAATTCCGATTGATGGCGTTTTCGATTTCGAAATCGGTCGGGAAGCGATGGCTTGTAAGCTCAACGAAGAGCCAAGCTTGCTCGCTCCCTTGCGACGGCGTCCTTGGCCGAGAGCAGTACCAGAATGAACGTCTCGTGGGCTTAGCAGGATGGCTTTCGTGGTATCACTAAACGTCTTGGGTCTCCTGGACGGAATAATTGACCATAAGCAGGTCGAATACGTGGAAGACGTGTCTCAGTAGTACTGTAGGGTGCGGAGTTGTCATTGGTTTTGGCAGGACCATCATGTCCAGGACCGTAATCGCGTCCTCGCTGGAGCGGCTTTTCATCAGCTGGATCTCGACTTGAAGCTGCTTCACGGCTTTGCTAGAGCACAAACAGTCAGCACCAGGTCGCCTGATGCAATCGCCGCCAGAGTACAGGGCAAATACTCCTTCGATAGGCAGTACAGCCATATTCAGAGAAACGCTGTAAGTCAAGCAAAAGAGTTATGGCCAAGGCCATCCCGAGTGAGGGGTGGAAACAATCGAAGTGTGCACGTATCTGATATTCTCATGACCTGACTGCTGCTCTCTTGCCCGTTGATTGGATCTAACAAAGTTCCTGCTGTGCTAGTGGACTGACCATCCGATGGAACATCAGCGGCAGGCGCTGTCATCGTTGTCATTTCGACGTCGTCCTTTCCAGAATGCATGGGGGATCATCTGATGCCGGACCGCGATTTCCGATCTGCACAGTTGTGTTTGGTCGTTCCTGAGAATGCGACGGGCGATGGAAGGATGCCACGGCTGCTGCACTGAACGCTTCTCTCTCGCTTGCTGACCAAGAACGTCCGTCACCTTGAACTTCCTGTTGTCCGTCAGATTGCACCGCATGAAGAAGAAGAAACAGATCAAAGGTTGTGACAAGCTTTCCCTGCCAACATAAGAGGCTTAAAATAGCGCTGATCTCCATGCACACAGCCGGGATCATGCAACGACGCTAGATCCTTTGCGTCGACGGTAGTCCCAGATGGGCCAAGTCCGTCCCAGTGGAAGTCGGGGAGCAGCACCTCACTCTCATATCGTCGTCGCTCTTTCGTGACTTTTGTCTCTATATCACTGTCTTCCCGGTCCTGCAATGTTTGCTTCCTTCGCTTCAGTTCCGTGGATGTCTCATATTCCTTAGACATCCGCCCGTGGCTCCTGCGTTCCCGCTGGTGCGAGTGAAGTACATTGTGAACAGAGACCTCAAAGCCTTGAGAAGCTCCTTTCCCGTTTATAGTGGATCCCGTTGGCGATAGAGGCTGGCGTGCCCCTTGCAGAATGTTTGCTGGGCCGAGAAAGAGATGTGTTTTTTCTGGATCTTTGTTCTCCGTCTAGGACGCCGAAGCCTGCAGCGTCGTTCAGGGCTCAGGAAGCAACTTCGCGTGCAGGGTAAGTACTGTTTCTGGAAACCTCTGCCACACTGTATCCGCAATCAGAACTGATGATGGGATGACAAGGTGATCTCGTGGTGCGGCAAAACCTGCTGTTCCCTGTCTCCTAGAACACTGGAGTCCCGGGGGCTTCCAATCCCGAGGAGGGCCACGAGGAAGACGGAGGCACGATCTGTCCCGTAGGAAGCAGAGGGTGCTCTATACGCATGCTCGAAATCGGGCTCCTCACTCCTCAGACGCGCGGCGACACTCGCGCGGCTTGAGGTGAGGGTGACCGACCTGATGATAGTCCACCTGCTTCGAGGGACAAGGAGGTACGGCGGACTTGCTTCCTGACGCGTGACATTGGACGCTATCCAGTAGTTAAGGCGAGCATTCCGCAAGACGCTCGGATGCAGGACCGTCCTCCTCTTGTCCATGTGCTAACGGTCCGTCGCGACAAGGCCTTCCGCACGCGCTTGTCCTTCTCAGTGCTCTTGCGAGTGTGCTGATCTACTTCCTCGAAGGGCCGACACACACGCAGGCGAGGCCTTCTATTACGGGATGATAGATAGTTTCCGTGGCTACCTCATCTGCACTGAGTCTGGGATCGCCGCTTGGATGGCCGCCGTGTTAAAGGTGTTGGATCTGGCAGTGGGGAGTCAGCGCGTAGCTGCGTGTAGATGGGCGTCTCCTGAGATGCTGCGCGGCTCGCCAATGCCTGAGATGGATTCTCTGTCAGGGAGACGCGTCCGTGGCTGGTAATACCGTAGAAAGATCGATGCGACGCGTAGAGGTGGTGATGATCTGACGATGTTGGGACGAGGGAGAGAAATGGAAAAGAGTCACTTCTCACTGCTCACCCGGCTTGCCGCTTGCCCGTCCACCTCCGGCAGGCGACCCGTCTCCGAACTGGCGTGCACGATGAGATTAGCCTATTGTGCCTCCTCATGCCTGAGACGCTCGGGAAACGAATTGTTTGAGCCGCAGCAATGCGTGGGGAATGGTGAGTACTCTGAGCTCCTGCGGCTTGTGTTAAGGTATATAGGGGGTAATTTTCATGTGTCCCTCGCCCAGCACCACTAGCTGCGAGTGCTCTGCTGGGCGAGTGGTGCAATTCTGAGTCGGCGTGCTTGGAATGAGATCCACTTTGAGTGGACGATTTTACTAACATCGAATAGGAGCATTCACAATTTCAGCGAGTTCATCTCGCCACAATACCTGCCTCCGCAGATGACTTCTTTTTTTTGATCTTGTTTCGTTCTATGTATGTCGGAAACGATAGCAATCGTTCGCCCTTGGTTTTGGGCTCCAGTTGCTAACGACGTGTTGATCCATTGCGCGCGCGCGCACTTTTTGATTTTTTTTCGCCAGTGGCCGAATTGGGAAGGAGTCGAAAATGTACGAGGAGGTGGCCTTTTGGACGGACAGTCACGCGGACGACGAGCACGCGTCTGCCTCGCTTCGCCTCCATACAGATGAGATGCATCGGCGCCCCTTCCAGCAGCTCGTAGGAGAGTGATTGATTTCGCCCAGGGTTCGAATATTTACGCGTTCATTGGAACCACGAGCAACAGCGTCAGCACAGCCTTGCCGGCGGCTGGCTAGCACGGTGCCGGGAGACTCTCATTCAAGCAACCCGCTCATAAGATGGCGAACGGCCCTTTGGTCACCCTCCACAACACAAACATCACCGATTCACCGAGGACCGCTTACAAGGACCATGTCCCCTAGTTGCCTCGCGTCGACGACCCCGGCAGGTCAGCGTCTTTGAAGTCGGTCACGAACATGCAGCAAGAGCAGCGACTCACGAGAGGGAAGAGATCACGCAAATCCGCGGCACACGAACCCACGAGCAGTGACACAGCAGAATTGACGACTTCACCTGTTCCGCTCGCGCCAGCACCAGTAACAACACAGACGCGTCTCTCTGCAGTTTGTCGTGAGCATTCTGTGAGAGTAGCAGCTCAAGAGGACGAAGCGGAGCGGCGCCTTTTTCGCGCGCGATATCACGAAAGTTGATTGTGCAGAAAAGGAGGCAATTTCATTTCCCCCTTTGCCTGGGTTGATCACAAGCAAACAATGCCTGTCTTCGAAGTCGGCTGCGCCGACGCCGGCACTACAGCGACATCTGAGAAGGATCGAGAGACATCTGCTCGCATTTTGCGGACACCAACGCTGACGTGCGACCGGAGACGGGATCTCCATCGCCCTATCTTTGCGCCTGCAAGAGCAAGAATACCCAGCTTTCTTGAATCCAGACGCGTCGCTTCCGCCAGGCTCGACAGTTCATCCGCTACCTGAAAAGACGCGAACCCCAACCTGTGGCCACGAGCAGCTCAGCAGCCCCCTCGCCTCTCGCCGAGTGCTTATTTGAACGATAGACGTCCAGTGCTTGCCGGATCTATAGCGATGGTATCGTTAGCACACACACGAAAGAGGACGGCGTGATAAGACGGTTTGGTGCAGGAGAAGACGCAGGCGCTGAGAACCGACCGATCGCCATCACCCAGTGATTACCTCACTTTCCGCTCTGCGCGTCTGCAGCAACAGAAACGACCTATCGCCTTTGAGAATGAACGCGACAGCATTGTGTACGCAGCGTCTCACCCTTAGCCCCTCAATATGGAACGACACGCCTCTACGACTTTGGAGATCGAACGAGGCTACTTCTTCCTTCGAACGATCTATCAGGAGCATAGCTCAAGAGAAGGCAGAACGAACAGACATACTCCATAGCGCAGATGCAGGGTTTGCCTGTGGAAGCGTGTAGCAGGGGCAGCAAGACAGACGCGTCACACCTCGACTTGACCTGCGAAGAAGGCATCAACTCTCTCTCCACGGGCCCATCGACACAGTCTTACAACCCCCGAGATGGAAGGCGACCATGTTGTCCCAGCTTCACCCCCACAGTCCTTCTTCAAGCCGTTCCACTGTAGTGACTGGAGACAGGAGTGGCAAAAGAGTTGACGGTCAACGAGTAGGAGATCACACCAGAGCGTCTTTTCAATTGGAGTCAAGAGATTCAACATGCACAAGAGAGTTTCGGTGTCCCGCCATATACTGTTTCACTACAACACCTGACTCAAGGAGATATTCAGCGCTGACCGATTCCTTGGTCACTGCCTTATCAGCGCTGCGGCTCAGAAAGGCTATACCAGAAGACTTTTTGAGTCATGAGAAGAAGCAGGCGTTGAATGTCGAGCGATCCCGAGTTTAATAAGATTGTTTTCTTCGTTGTGCGATTACGGAAACAGCTGGACACTACTAATAGTGTTAGGTATTCTGAATGGTTCCAGGTATAGGTAGATACCATGGAGTTACCTGTCTATCAAGGACCAGATCTGGTCATAGACCTGGCTACCAGTCCCGCTAGGTATATCAGGGAAGCCTACTACCTACTACGAGCAACAAACGTCCTTGCTACCCTTCTCGCCTGGAAGATACTGCAGCTGCAACCCGACTTGTTCGACTTCTAAAAGGTTGTCGCACTAACGCAAGACCGCTTGGATGACGATAGCGACTACGACCAAGACGCATACTCCTTCGCTACCAACGGCCCTGGGATCACCCAGCTCTCTACCCAGATGTTCGAAAGCCGATTCGAACACCTCTCTAAGCTAGAGCGACATTATCCTTCGCTTGCCGTCGTCCTCCCAGTCCTTCAAGCCGACAGGACCCTCGCCCCTAGCCTCCTTCAAGCGGTAGCGGAAGCCAAGGCTGCAGTGCTCCAAGACTTGCAGAACGACGTCCTACTCACAACCCTCACCCCACACAATAGCAACTAGGCCCGCTAGTGCAAGGAGGCCTCGGACGCAGCAGAGGCGGACATACTTGCCGAGCAACGCACCAAGCTACCGCGCCCAGAAGACTTGAGTCGCAGGTCGCCTCGCCGACGGTAAGTGGGTGGCACCTTTCAGTGCGCCCCCTAACGCCGCAGCTGCTCAGTCAGCTCCTACCGGTGCACTCCCCAACACCATGCAGCCAGCGCCCAAGGCTTCGCTAGGTCCCACGGTTCCCCTAGCAGTCATTTCTTCTTCCACGAACAGATGGCAAGCCGACCCACAAACAGCAGACAGCAACGACCTTAGACAGCAGCCACCACACACGGATGCACCTCCATCTTCGTCTTTCGAGCCGTGTTGCAGACTCAAATCCTAGGATCTTTCCAGATGCGCGGCTGTTATCTGGGCCAAATAGGAAGGGATAGAAAAGACTTGATGGTCCGGCTTTCGTCGAGTGACTCTTATTTGGTCACTGGCGGAGGGAGCAGCTGGAAAGCGTCAGGAGGAGAAGTGGATTAGTTCACTCTTACTGTCCGAGCGCAAGCAGCTTTGCGAGTCACTGGAGTGAGAAGGCAAGTAAACGGCGCAAGAGACGGCGCGCTATTGAGGAATGTATGCAGCAGTTTTCACGAGCTAACCGCAGGACTAGTTCCTGATGCATCTTCTTGGCTAAGTGTCGCAGAGCTTATGACCAAAGGCATTGCATTGACTCCCGTTGTATCTCGGGGTTTCTTCTGCCGGGCGTCACTCATCGCCGCCATTTGCTCACCGCAGTCAACCAGAAGCCATTCGGCCTGCGATTTACCTCTCCCCCTGCTCAAAATTTGTATGGCCGCACCTCCCGAAGGTAGGGGAGGCTGTGTGCGGTCCGTCTGCATTGCTACACCGCAATACGCTCCGTCGCGCTTCTCCTCGACGGCGGATTGTTGTCGAGAGTACTACGATTGAGGTCCGTCTCCCTACTCAGTCATGTACTCGCGAATCATAGCCGCACACGGGTAATATCCATGCACAACTATCAGTTGAACGCCATCAAGCTGAAAACGCTTACTGCGTTGTTCCAAGCTACCTTGCCATCCATCAACTCGCTCAGGCTCCATATCGACGTGGCTAGGAGACTATCAAGATTGGACCTCTTCATTTGCGTTAGTAAGCTTTGCGTCGTTTTTCAATGGAAGACTGAGAGTGTCTCCTACAGAGTGCTTGCAATGTACGACGCTCGCCACGACGCGCAGCCCGGAGGCACCAAGTGATTCACTGGAAGGCTCGCTCGATCGTCTTTCTGGATACCCTGGCACTTATGCTCGGAACGACCCCTTCGGTGGCGATGCGAAGAACTGGCACAACAGAGTGCAGGTTGAAGATGCTTTGTGGCCGAGCCACGCGTGCTGAATTGCCGGCAAGACTTCCAACGAACATCAGAAGACCCTTCAGTGCTGTCAGAGCTCGTACAATGAAGACTGGCCGGTCTAGATGAAGTGCAAGGATGGTGACACTTCGCGGAGCCTTCGTAGCTGAGCCTGAGCGTAGGAAGCAATAGTGAAGGACGGCAAGAATCAGGCTGCGCCGTATCCTCTAAAACACATATGAGTTGGCACATCATATGACAGTGTGGACGTACGCGAGAAGCTCAATATGCACCGCGGCGACGTCCCTTCGATGGCATTCCGGGATCTCTGTATATTTTGATGCTTCGCTTGCTGCCGCGTAAGGCTTTCACCAGCGAGACAGAAGCGAGATCGGGTTTTGAACGTTTTGTTCAGGCGGCGAGCCCCTTGAGGTGTCCATGCAACGGCTGTCCTCCAGGCAATTTTACTGCTCGACATCTTGACGTCGGCGTACGTCTCCTACCACTTTGGCACTCAGGGAAAAGCACAGCAGCCCTCTGGGACGAACGTGTTGCGGGGCTAGAAATACAGAGAGCCACGTCCAGGCGTAACTCATGCTGCTACCCCGGATTATTCTTGCAATATCCGCCTCCCAAACTCTTGTATCCTGGCTCTTGAGTCTTGACTTGGACTCTGCTGATGTAGATGGTGGCGAACCCTGACAGCACGAATACACGCGCCCGTCTGTTGCTGCGAGAAGCAAGTCTGGTGATTCAGATTCTCGCCATATCTGGGGTTATCACATGTCCTGTGGCAGTCTGTCGTACGGTCAACTCGTAATATGACCGCCAATTCATCTTCCAGCCTTAGGGCACGCGTTGCGACTGAATTGGACGCGTCGACGCGTTGTTCGTCTTAAGTTACACCCTACCACCACGGTCTACCTTCGACAAAGGCTTGTGGGCTAGGTATCTTTGTGGGTTCGCCTCTTTCCAAGCCTGCTACCATGTTGATTCTTCGCACCTTTGCGAGGCTGGGGCACCGAAAGCTTTCGATCGAGGGCGAAGACTTTCGGGTCATTTGTGGTCTCTGGAGATGGCGGCATATGCGCGGAGTATATGGGAAAGGCGGCAAAGGTCATGGAGACGCTTCGGATCGGTCATGGACGTGAAGGGGCGAAAGGTTTCTTGAATCTGGAGCTGAGATGGTGTGAGCGTTTGAGATATACAGTATTCCTTTGTGTCGGTGAGGCGCTTCTTGGTGCCGTGCGCGGATGATTGCTTTGCGGTCCGCGGAGCGTGCTGCTGAGGTATATCTGTACGACTTATTAGACTGTGCAACTGCTCTCGATCCCGGACCACGATTCTGCGCGTCCATGCATCCTCGCGTGGGAGATCGGCGCGAGACAGTCAACCTCATTTCCCTCTTCGCTTGTTGTCTAGAAAAGCCGATGTTGGAGTACCACTGTACCTCTTTCAAGGTAGTTATAGCACCTTGTGGTAGTCTCTGATGTTTGCAGGACGATAGACAGCGGAGTCGGGCGACTGGTCGAAGTTCAGGAGTTCCAACTGCAGCTCCAATCCCCGTGCTCAGCGCGTCTTTGAAGCCCGCAGAAAGGATTCGTTCCGTGCATGAGCTCTTTGCATTAGGTAGTGTTCTTTTGTTTTGTTTCCAGAACTTCTTCCCCTTAACATTGTGCAATGATCGCGGAAGCATCGAGGAGGGTCTTTAGGTCTTGTGTTTGTCTCTTTTACTCAGTTTGTATTCCTTATCATGTACCCAGCATCCATCGTGGATGTAGCAGGCCGATTTCCCGAGCTCTTTCGATACTTTCGCCTTTATGCCAGCTCTTATCAATTTGCAATTCGCTGGGAGGTTCCACAAGGAAATCGTCCCTTCGCAAAAGTCTCCAAAGGGACCAGAAAGTGGAAAGGGTGCTCTCCGTCGTGGATTCGTATGTTGTTTGACGATCCTGGTCGTCGATGGCGCCGCTCTCGGCGGCTTTGTGAGGATGATCGCGTCTGAACTTTTGAAGCCTTTGGTCTTCCTTCACGTCTCATTAGTACGTCCCGCAGCAATATGGGTCAGCCCTGTAGGTTTTCGGATCAATTGCTCACCCTCTGAAGTCAAGTTTTCCAATTAAAATTCGCTAGCGAGCTTCACAGATGTTCCATTCAATCGAAAAAATTTCAAGAGCATCGTCTGGTGAAGCGCTTGCTCCTCCAACTTAGATCGCAATTCAGTGTGATCTATTGAGCCCATACGAACGACTTCCGGAGACTTTCCAGCCCCATCCACCCCGCCTGCCTCATCGTTCGTGCACTTGAAGCCCTGTATTTCCCTCAAAATTCGTTAGCTCTCTCAACAGAGGTGTAAAAATCTCGCAAAAATGCTGAGGAGCATCACCAAGTGAAGTGCTTGCTCCTCCAACTCGAACGGTAACGATAGCTCACATATTCGGCCCAAAAAAACGATCCGAAGGAAACCGGAAATCTCATATCCGACCTCCGCCCCGTCGCGCCTACATTTTGAGGCCTTGAAATTTCCCTCAAAAATCTCTAGCGCTCTTCACGGAGGTGTAAGAACTTCGCAAAAATGTTGGGGAGCATCCTCAGGTGAGGCGCTTGCTTCTCCAACTCGAATCGTAATTTTAACTCGCCTGATCGTCGCGTGAGAACGATCTGGAGGAAATGAGCGGCTTTAATTCGTCTCTGCGACGCGTGTGCCCCGTTCTGGACGATATTTTGGGTGTATTGAGGTGTTTCCCAATCGTTTTTACGGCAGGAGAAGAGGACATATTTCACTGGGTGAACAGGGATGTCAAAGAGCAGGTATAAGTGAGGCAAAATATCAATTTTTCGCAATGATATCGACGTTTCTGAGGCCGTACACTCGAAAAATGTACAATTCGACCTCATGGGAACCAAAAATTCAAAAAGGAGCCATGGAAAACGATAGAATCTTGGGAGACATACAGAAACATCACCAAAAAATGGCTGTAGCAAAGTTGGTATCCCCAAGTGAGGCCCCAAAAAATTGATTCCACTTACTGCTATTTAGTTGATGTCCGCAGAAAAAATGCCAAAAAAAGAAGTGATAGAAGGTTCGAAATCTGCGTTCAGAAAGTTGTTAGCCAAATGTCCTCTGAACGCCGTACGGTACGATAGCTAGCAGCTTCACCATCGCACCGCATAAGCTTGAGGTGACCTGCAGTTGATTGATATATATGGGTCAATTCCGTATAGCAGGCCGCAGGGGGATTTTAGCGATTTGCGGGACTTGTTCAGGAGGGGGATTTATCTGTCTGCTCGCAGTGTCCGCACGGTCTTCCGCTTACGATACCATGCTACAGATCGATCGGGAAGGAGAATTGGTATCAGGAGCGAGAAGGGGCTCCTGAACGCTACGCTGGCCTACGAGTGTCTACAATCCGTGCCCTTGGACGATCAGGGTGACCGACTACAGCTGGATGGCCTTCGAACATTCGCTGAGTTCCAGAGCACGCTGGCTTATTTGAAAGATCCTCCAGATGGCTATCTATACCCTCCTGTCGATATTATGGGAGCACTGGACCAGGTGTAGAAAGTAAAACGCTAGGCCGGAGCAGATGATCACGCGGGCTGCCGTGGGCGTTGAAGGCGTCGAAGCAAATGCGAACGGTCGAAACAATGTCCGCATGGGCGATGAGAGTTTCACCCTGCAGTGTGTCTACGAAGCTGCGGATCGTCGACTTTTCTATACGGGTTCGATCATCAAGATGCAGAGTTTGGTCTGGACCGCTGCTTACGATTCGATCTGGGGGACTGGAGGTTGTGTGTATGATTCGACTGGGCATCCGTCTTCGAAACCTGGGTTTGATATTTCGGCGAATGTGCCTTCGACTAGTGCGAGGAATCTCTCTGGAGCGAGGGTTAAGTCGCGTTTCCGGGGGGATTTGAATGCTAAGAATGGGTCGGTGGAGTCTCGCTAGGGTGAGCAGAAGATCGAGAACTAGATCGCGCGTAACAATCACAATAACGGGAATGACACGCCGGAGAACGCTGCGATCCCCGTTGGGAAGGGCTGGAGTGGTGCTGTTGGTGGATCGGCTTTGCTCTATTCTGTGCCGGTTCTTTTGCTGTAGTACTTGAGGAGCGTGGGCATAACGAACGATGGCGATGAGGACATTCAAATGGGACATACTAGATTCATCCCATGTAAAAATGTCAAGAGTGAGGTCATGTCGTTGGCAGCACAATCCCTGCGGCCGTGAAAGCTGAGTCAGGTCCCACGACTTTCTGGATTCCAGACTGGCGTCGTCCTTCCCCTTCGTCCCTTTCGTCCCTGCGGTCAGTAGTAGTATCTACTCTTCCTCACCACTCACGCCGCTCGTGATTGATCATCCTTCTAGATTTGTTTGTTCAAGGCCTGATATGTCGGTCTCGCCAGACTGAGAGCGTTGGACGATCTCCTCCCAAGCCTTCTCGAAAGACGCCATCGCGAAAGTTCCCGTCATCACCAGCCAAACACAACAAACACACCCTCCCTCGACCACACCCTGCGATGCGACCATGTACAACGGCTACGTGAAGCCCGTCGGAAAGAGACGAGACGAGATCAGCGTGAGGACGGTCGGTAGAACGATGGAAGTGAGGTCACTTGGACATCTCGAGAGACCCACCGGGTTGCGACATCAGACAAGGATCCGTCTTCACGACCCTGTTTGGCATCTTGGGCATGATCTAGTGCTCGAGCACTGTCCCCAATGGGTCGCCACAGCGCGCATCACTGATGTCGAGGACAAAGAGCTAGACAAAGAGCTAGCCGTCATCGCTGCCATGATGCAAGTATGAGCGCTCAATGCTGGAGAGGAAAGGTAGGTTGGGTATATCTATAGGAAGTGACTGGGTAAGATCTGGCTCCCATCATATCCATTCATCTCTGTGAAACCCAACACCACAGGAAGAGTACCGTCCACATCACAACATCATAGATTTCCGAAAGACATGGCCTCCAGCAGCGCAACCGACACTGCGAAGCAGGCCGCCCAAGCCGCCGCGGAAACTGCAAAGCAGGGCATTAGCTACGTTGCAGAGAGCCTCGATGCCTTGACTGGCTCCAACAGCAATGACGACAGCTATTCATCGATCTCAGCTCCCAAACCGACCAGCTACGCGGAAGTGCAAGCTGCAGGCATGCCCGTCAGCACCCCAAGTAAGCACATCCACTATACAAGTCCTTTCTACCCTTTCTGACTGCTCGACTCAGACCTCAACGATCCCTCCGCATACTCAGTCCATAGAGAAGGCACAGACTACATCAGCGAAATCGCGGCGCAAAAGCAACAGGGCCTCGATCCCGCTCAGCAAGGAGTCTCAAACACTGCTAACATCTCGGGACGGCCGACCGAGCGAAATGTGCCCTTAAGCACAGTCGAAAGCAGTGCCGAGCCCGACGTAACTTACGAGCATCGCCCAAAGACGTTACCTCAGATTGAAGTCGTGGAGCGGGAGAAACAGAGAGGATTGCGTGGAGCCGCAACTGGCGTGCCATCAAAGGTCGTGGCGAGCGAGGTCATTTCCGGTCAGACTGTCGAGGCAGCGAAGAGCGCGGAAGCGATGCATGAGAAGGACGCGGTGGAGCGAGAATTGCTGAGCAAGGTCAAGCCCGCGCAGCCCGCGGTGGAGGCTCAGGCTGGTGTACGATCAGGTCCTGCCACCGGCCAAGGCGTCGCTCCAGCTCCTGGTAGCGTCCCGCCGGCATCTGGTGCTACTGAGACTGCGATGAAAAAGACAGAAACGCTGCAGAGAGATGATGCCAAGTTCGTCGGTCAGCGAACTGGCGACGCTTCAAGTGTCGACCCTTCGCACCCGAGATCAGGAAGCCTGGCCAACCACAGCCTCGATGCTGTTCTCCCTCCCACTGCCGTCGAGCGAGGAGTCCAGCAGTATCCTCCAACGAGCCAGGCGAAGCGATCTGGAAGCGGCGCCACGACAGAGGATGCGGCGCATCCCCATGAGCACGCGAGACAGGATAGCGACACTTTACCCCAGAACCATCTCGAGCAGTCTGTCACGAGGGAGTCTGGGACTCAAGATCCTGCCAGGGCATATGAATCGAAAGAGCAGCCGCCGAAGCAGAGCACTGGCAAGCCAGGCAAGCAGGAGAACCCTGATGCAATTCCAATTGCGGGAGGACAGAAAGTAGGCGAGCAACATTTCGGCGAGAGCAAGACTCTGGAATAAGCATCTCGTCTGCTGAGTTGATTCTGTTCGAACAAAGAGTATGATACCAAGCAGTACATTGGTTCTAACTGCCGAATTTCCACCACCTTTGCGCACAAGGCTGAGATGAAAGCCACGCCGAGCTGAGTCCCCTTCGCCATTTCCATGGCCGGCCTTGCGCTTCACCAACATCTCATTTCGTTGACTCCGAAGAAGTACGCCAAACACTCGTCCTCCATGTCGGCGCTGTTTATGGTGCCGCCAATGCTGTCACAATAGCTGTGACGGCCGACCACACGATCAAAGTGTCTCTCCAACACAGCCTGAAAGCGGTCTGGGCTGTGCAGCTGAAGGGTCAGGCGAGCTCCAGAGAACTTTAAGCCTTTCCAATTCGACGCTGCATGGAAGCTTTCTTGGTATAGTTCAGCCTTGCCCGCAGTCTTCCCGTTCATCATTCGCTAAACTGGACCAGAACGCCCGGATGCGCCTCCACCACGCAGGAAGCTGCAGAGGCCAGCGACGAGGCTGGCGGTTGCGAAGATGCGATAAGGCCACGGTCCTGTCGCGCGAAGTAGGTAGGCGGATATCTTTTGCTCACTACTTACTTCAGCCTCGTCGTCAAAATCAGAAATTACCAAACAATTAACGACATCCCACGATGTTTCTCCCTCCAACTCTCCTCGTCACAACATTCCTCGCCAGCTACGCCGCAGCGGACTTCTACATCTCCAACAGCACAACCTGCATGGGCGTCTTCATCGTCCAAAACTGCTTCCACGCCGCGCAAGTCCTCTCGTCCGGCTCCAACCCCAACACCACATACAACTGCAACCACCTCGTCTCCGCAGAAGACAACAACCATCTGAACGCCTCCCTCGGCCTCCTCGGCGCATCATCCTCTCACTCCGAAGGCGGAATCTGCGGCGAGCGCAACTTGAGCTTCGAGAAGACATCTTCCGGCGCCGACGCGACGGATTTGGCCTATACGGTGCGGAACGAGCAAGGCGATCACGTCGGCGACTGTGTCCCAGTCACGGGCGATGCGAGTTTTTGGGAAGTCAGGGATAATGCGAACCAGACTTGTAATCTGTGGCTGGGGGAGATGTATTTTGCTACTTTCTTGAAGTGTACGAGTAGTATCTGTGCATGAGAAGGGGTGGCTGGGATCGAGCGAGGAGCCTGCGATTCCAGACGATGACAAGAAGAAGAGGAGCAGGAGGACAGATGGCCGATTCGAATTCTCTCTTTGCGGGAGATAACTCAGATATCTGGTCGAGCCGAGGACAACTTGGCGCTTCCGAATATGGCCTGGAGAGGAAGAGTTTTCGATTTTCCGAAACGATGATCAGAGAACAAACCGCTGCTGGAGACCTGACGGCTTGCGCTCGATACGCTTTTTTTTTAACGATTCTCAAACGAAGTTCACGAAGGCATCCCGTCGCATGAAAGAAATCCGTCACGTGCGTGGCGCGAGTACCTACCTGTCTATTTGAAGCCCTAGGAGTGGAGTGGAGGCGTCTGACGTGCTTCAAGCTGTAAGTAGGCTGCCCGGCGGTATCAGGATTATGTGAAGCGTTCAAAACTACTGGATGACCGCGAATGACGATTCATTGCCCTTGTATATCTTCCGTTTATCTGATCAAGGAAATGTTACAACTAGCTGATGGGTACAGAGACTTTGATCCACGCCTTTTAGCTCTCTTTCAAGTGGCTTCCCCTCCCCCTTCGGTCGGATATGAGACTTTATGGGTTCGAAAAAGTCCAGAATCGGGTTTCGCTGCACCATTGAAAATCTAAAGGTTTTGCTAGGAGATGTTTTTGCATCGATAGGGGAAAGACGAATATTACCTTAGCGCGGTATGTCGACGATGCCTCCTTCCTACGCGCTGAACCGAAGTGAACGATGTCCAGTCGGAGCGCTGTTCTTTTCCCGTGGAAATAGATGGCAAAATCGAGTTCATCGATGCTCAGCACAACAGGACTGCTGGCACATTCATCAACCCAAGCTTGCTAGATATCGACGTCTACGAGCTGGACGGTCCTGCTGAGATCTCATGGATCTACTGCAGAGGCAACTGGCAAGAAGGACCATCTCCTGGCCACCCACTTGACCAGCCCTTCAATGATACTACGCTCTTCACTCTTGACCTTGTACAACACAACGACACGGACACAGTGATTGGAGAAGTGATGCGTAAGTCTCGATTTGGCTAGCAGATGTAACCTCGCTAACGATCCTTCCCAGCGCCGACGAATGCGACCTTCTTTTATGGAAAGGCAGCGGACCTTTCCACGAATCGAATGGTCACGGATTGATCCTCGAGCGGTTCGATCTCTCGTGCAAATACCAATTCTTGGGTATCATGACATACCTCTGGCATGTACCGAAGGACTTGGACGACTCCGGATACCGCCTGAGGCTCTCGACAGATATCTCATCAAGCACGCATATTAGTGGCAGGTTCCAGGTCTCTGGACGAGAGGCATGCCTACTCGCAGGCCAAAACGTCGTCGGACATAAGCGGTATCTGGGAGAGGCATAGCGTGGCCATCTTGGCGGCTGTATTGGTCGTGATGGTGATGGCTTCTTGGGTGGTTGCGCTGCTTCGAAAGAGGTCTAACCGAGTCAGGCTTACATGAAGGACGCAGAAGGCAATGTATCGAAGAATAAGACAATTTGGGAACTCACCTGAAAGCATGTATTCATCGATGTGTATGTGTAGATCGTTGTAGGCATACACCACAAGTAAGCTCACCCGAATAGCTCGCGCTACCTTATACAGATCTATTTCGGTGGCCAGTGCTCCCCCGAAAAACACTCATCCGCAAGCTTGTCCACCGAGAAATATATGTTGCGGTCCTAACAAAGAGCGTCTAGCCTCTCTTACGTCGACCTGGTGACATCCTCGCAGTCGCTTTGGTGGAAGACAAGAGCGAACCTCGAAGACTCCGGCCCTGACCTGCATACCATCATCGCATCCAGAAGGCTCGTGAAGACTGGCAACAAGCTCGCGTCGTCCCATGTAGGCTGGTAGTTGCAGCCGTTCTCAGCCAGATGATCAGTCAAAGTTAGCGACCGCAATGATCTGGGAAGAGTGGCATGCCAGTCATATCTTGAGGCATCCTTGTCTTCGCGGCCAAGAAGCGACATGTACGGTATCGATAGAGTATGCAGGCGTCCCATGATCGACAAGTTATTGAGATGTCGGTCCGGCAGTCCATGATCACGTTCGAGGTCACCCTGCTCGAAGTACTCATTGGCACATATGTATGCCTGGCCAGCAACAAGTTCCTCTAAGGTATCCTTCAGTTGGTGAAGGGACCTGTAGAGCAGTTCTAGCCCAATGTCCGGTCGATCATAAGGATTACTCCGACGTGAGTTACGCCACCAGCCTGTATTTACCGAAGCCAGGTACTCGAGGTACCGGAGCTTGGGCATTGCAGAGAACAAGTCGTCCAAGGCGGCCTCTTGCTCCTGGCAGTGGTGGAGAGTCAGACTTGTGATCGAGGTCGCACGTAAACCATTGGTGATCCCTGGAGCCAAAGTCATGGCGGCCGATAGCGCTTCGATGTTTGGTGCCGACAACGGCATGAGCGCCGCATGGTCCTAGGCCTGGAATATATCGAATTGCTCCTGAGGGTGCTCGGTCAACAAGTCGAAGCATAAACGGCAAGTCTGCAAGTTCTTCAAGCTTCCGAAGTCTCCAGTCTTGGCCATGGCTTCCAACGTATCGGTAATTTCGGGAAATCGAAGGTAAACAGAGCTAATGCTTAGGTCCTCGAGTCGAGAGCACAAGCTGATGATGTTCAAGCACAGCTTCGGCAAAGCGACTTGGATTGGCAATGATTGAATCGTCGTGAAGCAAGTGTCTGTCAACTTGCATTGTGATTCCATCTCCCGCGGTGTGAAAGCAGGTAGCTCCATGACTGTTTCAGCGGGATTATTTGCTGGAGTAGTGCCTTCCTTCCATGACAGCAGCAGATCACCACTCAACACGAGCGTTCGGACGCTTTTAGCCGCCGGCGTGTTGGTGAGCAAGGTCCGAAGAAGCAGAGCCGTTTTGCGTCCACAGTCCGCAGATCTGCCAAAATCGAGTTTGATGTCCTGGTAAATGAGTGGGATCGCATACTCATTCAATTTCTTGGACACCTTGCTCAGTGTGTGAAAGACGGACTTGTCGAGGTAGCTCGCAATGATGTCGGTGACCAAGAGAGGAAGTCCTCGTGGCCTGCATAAGTTGTGCACGAGGACGTTGATGTGATCTTGAGTATTTTGCATTATTCTGCAGCAAAGTGGGCTGTGTGCTAGAGGAGGAGGTAGTGAAGGGCGTAGGAGAGTTGTCCGTATAAAACGAAGCGCGTAACTTCCGGGGGCAAGGAATGTGTAATAGGGCCAACGATGAATTTGTCAATTACATCTGGAAATCTCCCATCTCGTAGCCTTCAACTGCCCTGTGCCTATTAGTCCCCGCCTTTCTCTTCCTCTAACTTCACCGTCAGAACACCGCCTGACAACAACAGCACAAACCAAGAAGCAACTCATCCCCCCTTGCGCCCAGTCTTAATTATCAACCCAATAATCATTCTCCCGCATAGACAGAACCACTTTACCCAAGCACCCGGAAGACTCATACCAAACGCCTCCCTAAAACCACCCACACTCCTCCTCCTCTCCCTTAGAATTTTCCAACTCTCATCGGCGAGAACCTCCTTCCCGAGGACGTCTATGAGAGGTAGTGTAAGTCTCAAGTCCCGCGCAGATAGCTTTCATGCTTCAATATGGAATTGTGGGACCCGAATAGCGAGAAAGAGGGAGGTGCGGTCTCGGAAGGGAACGCCAGGAAAGATGAAGAGAGCGCCGATATGTAGTGGAATAGGCTGTATGTAGGTTGAGGAGAAGCTGAGCTGGTGGTGGTGGTGGTCGTCGAAGGAAAGCGCAGGTCTCTTCGTTCGCCATGTTGTCGGAGATGCAAATCCCGCTATCGGTGTCCTTTTTCCCTTTGGCACAAGAGCAGCGCATATCATCAAAACATTCAGATCTCCTCCCATTCATCCATCCAAGTGCCTACATTGCCTCGCAAAAGATTCCTCCACGCCCGGGAATCCCACAATCTATCTTTCTTCTTCTTGTCTTCGCACTACGACCACGAAGAAAAAAAGAGGTCATCACTGTGCATCGTTCATCTCGTCTCAAAAGAAAACAAAGTCCACGAGTAGAGATTTGTCCATAGGTATAATAATAAGTGAGTGAGCCCCGACGCGCGCACACCCAGAACAAGGGTGCCAATAAACACCCATCAACAATAATGCTTGGATGCTTGGTGATATTCTAGCCCCTTGTCCCCCTTCTTGGCAAACTGGCTTACAAGACCGGAAATGGCAATGTTGAATGTTGAATGTTGAATGTTGAATGAAGCCTGCCGAGAAAATTCGCACCCCAAAGGAAAGAACAGCATGTTGTGTGGTGCCACGTAGGCGGGAGGGATTCTGAAGGAGAAGAAAGGGGGCTGTGGTGTAAGATGCTTCACCACCAGGAACGTGTCATCATCGTCGTCGCCGTTCGCTGTCGCTGTTCCACCTACCTCTTCCGTTAAGGCAGACCTTGATGCGCTACCAAGCGGCCGTCGGGGATCGTCCCGGCATGCGCGCCGCATGTTGTGGCATTTGGAATGTGTGAGTGCGTAGAGGAGGATAAGAAAAAAGTGAGAAATTGGCGGCGGTCAGGACACAAAAACCTGTGTCGGGTGGAGTTAGCACAGCTTGGGGGATTCTATCAGAAAACTATTTCTTCTCATATCTCGCACATTGGGTATTCCTTCAGCCGCCTCGGCCGGATCATACATGAGGTATCTGCGTCGCAAATCTCGACATCTTCGTCGCCTTCGGGAGGGCTCCATTCGGTCTGCTGAAAGCATGTGGTGAGGTCAAGAGGGCTCCTGAGCCGCCGACCGTTTACATTGGACGGATCCAGATACGATACGAAGCCACATCGCCTGGACTGTAAGGATCGGAATCCTGTACCGGGCTTCCCACAAGCGCCTTCCGTTCACCCTTTGAGCAGTGATATCTCGGACGATGTCCGAGTATGGTGAGAAGGAGGCATGGCGAGTAGAAGCTGGGGTGCTCATTCGCCGACGGGCAGAGCGACCCCATGCCCAGGCATTCTTGACTTGGGTAGCATGGGATAGCAACAGCAACTGTGCGAGTTCTGACGTCCAAGGTAGGCTGAGATGTCTTCACTTGTTCGGCTGGGCTCTGGTAAGCTTTACCTCTGTCTCGTAGTTGAGGTCCTTGTCGGCTGGAAGCGTGTGGTCGGGGGCCCGATGGTCGTTCGAATGGTCTTGTCCGCTGATGTGCACCGCATCAAGCCCGTTGTCCACACTTTCCACCTCGTCGTCCTCATCGATGAAGCCGCCCCGTTCTTCATCCCAGCCCTCGATATCCCTCAGCAGTCTGACGTACTGCTCCGGCACCAATCCTTGCTCTCCGGTCTGCGGATTCTCGGCAACCAGCCACCCTTGTCCATGCCGATATGCAACCAGAATCGTCTGCCCTTCGGTGAGTCGCAACTCGTTGTCGTTCTCCGGCTCGAAACTATACAGTGCCAGAGAAGGTCCCGCAAACAGCTCCTCGTCTTCCGGGCCGATGCTCTCTCTTTGCGGCGAGTGGTTCGACGGTTCGGCATCCAGAGGAATCTGCTCGTCGTCTGGGTCCACCGGTTGACTGGTATGGAAGCTTCGGCTTGGTAAGGTGGTAGCGAGATGGGAGTCTCTCCTCCCCCGGTCTCCATTTTCCTGGAAGCCACGACTCTGCCTCAATGCATCGCGACCTGCTGGATCTGATCCTCCGGGAGCCAGATACTCCGATGTCCTGTTCCCACCGCCGCTTTCCCGCCTCCGACCTCTTTCGTAATTCGGTACGTCTGCAAAGCTCCTGCTCTTCCGATGCTTACTCTTCCTGAAACTCGTCTCGTCGTCGGCCCAGTCGTCGCCCGCTGCTCCACTCCCAAAACTCGTGCTGGGCAGAGGCTCTCCCTCCAGATCTTGTCCACCAGGCTCTCCGTATAATGCGCCGTCCCCTCCCCATGGACCAGCGCTGCAGTGTCCCCGACCGGCGCCCGCCTCGAGTGAATCCGATGCTCTTCGTCCGGCGTTCCACTCGGACCCGGGAGTGCTTGCGCCGCCGCGATCTTCAGGCGGACCGCCAAAATGCATGGGATGGAAATCGGGATAGGCGAAGTCACGGACGAGGGTGTAGGACAGGCTCGATTGCTGGGCAACGAGGGCGGACTGCGGTTGGGACCTTCGCGAGGAGGAGGACATTCTGCTCTCGGCGAAGGACGGTATGCGCTCCTGTGATTGCTGGTCGCGGTGTCGCGTGCGCGGGACGGCTTCGTTGTGCGCCGGCTCGGCGGGCTGAGGATCGGGCGACAACGATGAGGACGCAGGATGAGGTATTGTTATGGTTGTGGTTGTGGTTGCCGTCGCACCTCGTCCCGACGCATGTGTCGTCGCACTGGAGGAGTCGGACGGTGGTGCCATGACCTCCGCCATGCTGCTTCCTCCTCCCTTCCCTTCTTCCCTTCTTCCTTTCTTCCTTCCTGCCTCCTCCACTCCTCCTGCTTCGTGAAGAGTCGACGACGACTTCCTCCGCTCTCGCTCTCGCGTTCGCACTCTCGTCAGACCAGCTGTGTGTGTACGTGACCGTTGTAGACGTGATCGACGTAGACGGTGTCTCGTCCCGTTCGGTGTATGCTTGTGTACGGTATGGTTGTGTACGATTGTGTATGGCTGTGTATAATGATCGGGTAGGGGAGGAGAGAGGATAGGGTAGTATATTGGGCGAGGAGGCAGGGGAGAGGATTACAGCCGGGCAGGCGCCGCCGCCGCGGTTGTTGTGAGGCGTTGTTTGGAGCGTCAGTATAGAAGAGCAGAGTTGGGTGACGGTGACCCGTGACCTGTGACCCGGCTATTAATAGGCCCCTCGTGCTGCAACCAAATGAAAGATGGCGTGTGGCGGGTGCAGCAGCCCGAATCACAAACCTATGCTCTCTCTGGTATGGGTATTTGTATTTAATAATAATAATAATAATAAGAGGGAAGAATTGACCGTGGTTGAAGCGTCGAGATCGGGACCATCTCTGGTTCGGGATGCTCGAGACCTTTCGTGTGGTCCGTCTGAGTCTCCGTCTCAGTGTCCGTGTCAGGCTCAGTGTCAACAATGTCAGTGTCAGTGTCAGTGTCAGTGTCAGTGTGTTCCATTATTATTCCCTCAGGCTCCACCGATCACGTACTCGACTCCTCGCAACCGCCCCGGCCGAAAGTGCGCGTCTCCGGCGTTTCACCTTCCACTGGCCCTAGACTCCTTCCAGCGCTGAAACGGCCGGGCAGCGACAACGGAATGCCGTTAGATTCTTAATAATAATCTCCACCTTCACATGCCAGCACCAGAACTAGCACCAACACCGCACTCTTCACGCACCGCACCGCACTCCTTCACATGCACACCCACGCCGTCGTATCCTTTTGCATGCGGTGCATCTCGAGCTGGTAGCGACGAGAAGCGCAAAGGTACGTATCTTTGCCCGGCCGACCGGAAGAAGACCGAACACATACGCTGGGCTGCGCTGCGCTGGTACGCTGGGCTGGTACGCTGCCGTCAGACTCGCATTCGATGCCCGAACATGGAGAAGATGCAGCAGACATCCTGCAACGTCGCCTCTTGGACTTCCTCCAGAAGCGGCACCCCCCCAAGACCTTCTGTCCCTCGGACGTCGCCCGCGCCCTTTCCGCCGACGAGCTGTCAGAACTCGGATTCGCGGAGTGGCGAGACGCGATGCCTTCGATCCGGGCTCGGGCCTGGCGTCTGAGGCAACTGGACGAGTGTGAGATCCTGCAGAGAGGTGAGGCTGTTGGACAAGACGTCGGACCTGAAGACGTCAAGGGCCCCATCCGCATTCGGAGACGTGCAGGATGACGGGCTTCACGGTCGTGTCCGCGCCTCCTACTGCCACCACATGGCCAGCGCGTGGATGCTATGCTATGCTATGCTATCCAGACTGCGAGGCTTGACGTCTATCTCATCGGAATCACGAGAATCGAATCACTGCGATGGATAGCCGGGGTAGAGATTGCCGTGACAGCCGACTCGACCAGCGAACTCTACAATACTTGTGCTATTCTCGACTCAAGCAAGGAGTATCACTGCTGTTGATGCTACCTGCTTCTGCAGCAGAAATACTCCGACCTGCACCACGCCATGGCACAGCCAACAAAGTCGCACCAGACACGACAGTTGCAGCTACAGCATCACATCACGCACACCTGTTCGGGGTCCAAGGATGTCGGCATTCTTCGACCATCTCGTATCGCTGTCGAGCCTCTGCGGGACATGGAGAGTCCTCATCGCCTGGACATCACCAAGAAACGTGAGCTACACTCTGAGCGAGAGAGGAATCGAGATGACTATCCCAGTTGCATTGTGGTCGGATCCAACACTTCTTCCTCGTCTAGACTGTCTTCGAGATCCATCTGGCCTTGACTATTACCTCGCCATCCATTCACTCCATTCAACGCGAATCCCCCCGTCTTCCGCTCAGGTCGCCAAATCATCTTCGCGGCGGGATGATCGTGTAGAGGCTCCTTCTGACCCGCCTTCTCATTCAGATTCTCTCGGTACGTTCCCCCCGGCACACAGTAATCCTCCCAGAACAAGCCTCTTCGACGCAGCTCGGGTATCAAAAGCTCGACAACGTCTTCGAATGTCCCTGGCATGAGTGCGTATGCCTATGCCGAGTCAGCATCCTCTCACCATTGCAGCTGTTGAAACTCGCGAGCAGTCCAAGAGCAGAACCAGTAGTAGCAGCCGTGGAGATGACTTGCGAACGAACGGAGAGACGACTCACGATGTTGAAACCATCTACACCTCCCTCTGCGACCCACCTCTCCATCTCGTCCGCCACCTTCTCAGGTGTGCCCACGCACGTTGCTCCCAAGCCGCCGACCACGATGTGCTGTGCTAGTGTCTTCTTGGTCCACTTGCCGCCGTTCACGTCCGGGGCCGTCTTCAGTAGTCCTTCGATATACGACCTGATGGCATTTGACTCCACATATCGCAACTCTTCGTCGTCCCCATACAGAGCCATATCCACACCCGTCCAGCCACCAAACAATGCCAACGCCCCCTCAGCGTCACCATATTGAGCGTAATCACGATATCTGGCGTCCGCCTCCTCCTGCGTCCTCCCAAGCACCGGACAGAATTTCGCCAGCACCTTGATACTCCCCGGATCCCGCCCGAGCGCCTCCGCTCTCTCTCGTATATCCTTGATACTCCCCGCCACCGCCTTCGGAGAGTGCTGCGACACAAAGATCGCTTCCGCATGCTTTGCCGCAAACTCCTTGCCCGCCCTCGACGTCCCAGCCTGCATAATCACCGGCGTCCGTTGCGGCGACGGCTGACAGAAATGCGGCCCGGGAACGGTGAAGAATTTCCCCTCGTGCCGAATCTCCCTCACCAGATTCGGATCCGTATAGATTCCTCGCTCCCGATCGAGTCGGACCGCATCGCTCCGCCAGGAAGAATTCCAGAGCTTGTACACGACTTGCATGTATTCCTCACACATGGCGTACCGCTCGTCGTGTGCGGGTTGCGACGCTCCGTTTGTCAGATTGCGCGCGGCGGAATCCAAGTAGCCCGTCACGACGTTCCAGCCCAGCCTGCCCTGCGTCAGATGATCCACCGTGCTCAGCCGTCGGGCGAGGTGATAGGGCTGCTCGTAGGAGGTGGAAATTGTGACGCCGAAGGACAGACTACTCGTCACGGCCGCCATGGCCGGGACGACGGAGAGGGGCTCGTTGACGGGCCATTGGGCTCCGGACTTGATGGCCGGAGACAGGTTTCCCGGGCCTTGGTAGATGTCGTAGCCGCCGAGGACGTCGGCGATGAAGAGGCCGTGGAAGGCGCCCCGTTCGAGCAGTTGGGCGAGGGCGGTCCAGTGGGGGAGAGTGTTGAAGTTGGAGGATCGGTCCCGCGGGTGCCGCCAGAGGCCAGGGGATTGGTGGCCGGAGCCTGGATTGGTGTTGGTGTTGGAGGTGGTTTGTTGGGATGTGAGATTTGGGATTTGAGAGGGAGAGGGAGGATGTGGGTATAGATATGGATATGGTAATGGTAATGGTAATGATATTGGGACTTACACATTTCCACAAAGGCGTTGAGGATGAGGGTCTTCTTCTTCTTCTTCTTTTCCTTCTGCTTCTCTTCTTCTGTTTTGGTTGGGGCGTCATGACTGTTGTTGATGCCGTTGCTTAGGGGCATGGCGTGAGATCCATATCCATTTGGAATGCGATCATTGCTCTGTCCTGAAGACATTCCTTCCCCTCCCCCTAGAAAATGTAATGGAATGTAATGTAGAATAGATGAAATAGATGGATTGGCTGGGTGGTTGTATGGATCAGCACGCCAAAAATTTCGCAGGCTTTCTTCCTAAGTTAATAAGAGGAGAATTGTTGATGATGTTTATTGTCAGTTGCCGATGTAGGAGATGTTGTGACGGGTTTGGTTTTCTTTCGGCTCCTCGGCCCGGAGGAGGGAGCAAGGGTGGGTGATGAGGAGCTCGCATCCCTGTTCTGAGCAAAGAGAGCTATCTATCTATATCTATTCATGGTGCTCAAGTGCTTGTCTGAATCTATCTTTTTCTATTACTACCGGAATGGGGTGATGGATGATGTTGTGGTTGATGATTTGCCTCTGTTGCCAGTGCTTGCTCGCAGCGATTTATCGGGAACGAGTGAGTGAGTGTAGATCCGTCTTGTGCTGTAGATAGCGGAAAGTTGCGGTAAATTTCTAGATTGCCGGTCTTTTTCTGCGTTGTTTTAATACGCGGTCTTTTGAGAGAATGTTGATATGTGGACATGCTTCACTGTCCGAATCGATTTCTGTGGATCGGCGTTGTCAATTTACTATGCCAGCGAAATGACTTTGTCGTAGGCTTAGACGGCAGCTTCAACGAGGCCAAGGATAAGAAGGATCTACTGTCCGTTCATTCCATGGCGTCTTGTACAGCACTAGATGTGTCGGAGATCTTCCTTGGCAGCGTTTCCCTTCACGAGAACTGGACTGAGACGCTGCAAGATGGGATTGTCCTTCACCTACCTCAGCGGAGAGGTCTTAGCAAGGCTTCGAAGACTTTCAAGACTTCTTCTGGCAAGTCATGCGTCACTCATGTCGTTCGAAACGGCTGTCGGCAGTGGTCACAGCCTGCCCTCTGATGAAGGACTCCAGCTGCTCGCATTCGCATTGCAAGAGGTCATCGAGCATCGCCACGTGAGGAGAGACCTGCCCGATCCATGCGCAGACGGAAGTTCTGAGCATTGGTTGGAGGGATGACACCGTATAACAGAGGAGCGCCAGACTGAGCGAGATCTGCTGAAGACAGACCGAAGCTCTGAACAAGATTGGCAGATAGATCCGAGAGAGGTCCACGTCGAAGCTGTGGAGGCGGAAAGTGTTGGAAAAGTTCGGCTTGAATCGCAATATAGCCTGTAACCGCCAGCGAGATGTATTGATGCCTCTGCGTACATGATAAGTTGCAGTTGATCTTGTTCCAGATATCTATCAATCAGGACGGCTGTTCTGGTAGCCGAATAACCCGACTTCGGTAACGTTGGAGGCTAGCAGATGTCTTCCAGCAGCTGCCCTGGTACGCCTAGACATCTTGCAAGCGAAACGCAGCTGTGCAGAGCCGGAGCGGAGTCAAATGCTTATCGGCCTTTTATTGGGTGGAAGCCTCCTATGGCCGGCCGAAGGAAGCAGCATGTACAGTACTTCTGCCTTCACAGCTCGTATTCGTCGATGGAGCTTGACACTTTGGCGATCTATTCCTTTCCATGGTTTAACGAGGAGGAGGATGTCTGCATGGAGAGTCAGCGGGGATGAACGACTCCGAAGCATGACCGAACGACTGGTTGGTACAGGCGCGAAGCTTTAATGGCGCTGCATCTTGAACTCCACCCGAGCCACGCCCTTGCACACTGGGGCTAAATTTGGCGCGGCGCCCTGCAGACTCGACGGACTCGATTCGATCCCAGTTTCCAGGCCCCTGATCCATGACAGAAACGTGGATGTCACCTCGATTTCCTGAGGTTGATCACAGAGTGGACTTCTCTTAACGCTGCGCTGATCTGAGCGGTCTCAGACGGATGCTTGGCTTCGGTCGTTGAGTAGGACTTTTGTAGAGATTTGTCGGGAAGGGGAGGATGGATGTCTATGCCTGGAGAGCTGGGCCTGTAGAGCATCTCGTCTGGCAGAGAGAAGAGAGCAGAGAGGACCTGAGGGCTGCCCGTTGCTGCTGACCTCCACCTTCTGCCGTTCCCTCTCCCGTCCCGCTGCCCGCTAGAATATGATGAGGCGTGAACGACTGTGAACTGTGAACGGAACACGAATCTCACCCGACAGCCACGTTGTGATGATGACGGCGCACGCGGCGTGCAACAACACCACCACCAGCACGACACACGCCATGTGATGCTCGTCTTTGTCCTCCATACCGCACTCCGCCCTCAACACGATCGTCGTGAGCAATCGATTCGGCAGCGTCTGCAAGGCCGCCTCATAGGCCTCATCACTGACAGAGGCGCGCGCGGCCGGGGATCCTGCTGCATGCGGTGGACCAGTTTCGGATGCTGAAGCGCATCTCGCTGCACCTCTGCAGCACGGACGATCCGCTCTGCGCTGCCTCTGCAGTCGGCGCCGCCTTGTATCACCACTCACCATGCCCGTTCCGACCTTCTCCTCCCACCGTTCTGCCCGCCAGCACAGCCAGCTCCTCTCGCGCTGGGACGACACGCGCGACCGCCTCCATGCCGACGAGCGTCGCAGGAGCATGAGCCAGATGCAGGAGCTTGATGGCACCGGCCTGTACGAGCGTCCCGACTGGCCGCTGCCCTCGCCGTCGCCGGAGGAGCGCCTTCGGAAGCGCTCCCCCGACGATGCTCCCGCCGAGATGGAGGACCGGTGCGTCGACCAGAATGCCGTCCTGAGGAAGCCCGAAGAGATTGGCGCGGCGTTGAACGGGAGCCCGTACGTGGAAGAGGCAGACGTGAGCGACGTGGGAGAGGAGGACGAGGAAGATGTTGCTAGCCCTGGTGTCGCCGACAACGAGGAACATCCCATTCCTTCGTCAGCTCCCTCCCGACTCCAAGACCAACATCGCGTTGATCGCACGTCAGAGCTTCTCGATCGCATATCAGAGCAGCACAGGGATCCGCCTCGAGAACTTGCCTCGCCTCCACGCCAGACGCACTCCGAAGTCTCGCCAGCCAGGGAGCTGCCTGCTCCGCCAGCGCTCTATGACAGGGAATCTCCAGACACTGCACGTCCTCGTCTCATACCGCGACAACGACCCGAGCGAGAGCATCAGCCCGTCGTACACGCCGAAATCAACGGGCATGAAGAGGTGGCCGAGGAAGAAGAGGACGAAGACGAAGACGATCTCGAAGAGTCCCGCGACATCGCCACGCCCATTCCCTTCCGCTCTGACTCGCCCGGATACAACTACTATCAACACCCGCAGGGGACGAACCCAAGCCGAAGTCCACCTCTTCTGAACGGCCGAACGACCCCGACGCCGACCACCAACGGTGTCAACAACCGGGGCTCGATCGCGAAAGGGCCCATGCATACAGGTCTTCATCGGAGACCCTCAACACGCTCTTCGTGGATCAGCACAACACAGATCCCGCACAACAAAGACCGAGTCCGATACAGTTGGCAATCGTTGCAGGATGACGAGCCGAATCGGCCGCGGATACACATCATCAAGCTGATATCGAACACGGCGACGGCGTCGGCGGGATGTCCCACCGGAGAGGCATTTGGCTTCTCCATCTCGCCCAGTGGCAGGAAGATAGCGGCATACAACAGCGCCAGGCTGTACGTACTGTCCACAAATGCCTTGCCGATGGGTATAAGTCAGGACTATGCGCTCAAAAGGAGACCTCTGGCCGTGGAGCTTACCGATGAGGGCAACACCATGGCCATCCTCGCGGACGACCACACGGTCAACATCTACGACACAGGACTGCAGTTCAGGCGGACCAGGACGATTGAGCTGGATTTCCCCACAAACTGCATCGCACTGGCTCCGACGGGAGGACTGCTGGCTGCAGCATTCGAGGGAGGAGTCGAGGTATTCTCGTTGGCTGCAAGCGCACTTCCTACCGATCGGAGAGCAGTCAGATCTATCAAAATGGATCGGTTGAAGTTCTCAGACGATGGCTCGACCCTACTGGGAACAACCACGCGGATCAATGTCTCCTCGACAGTGGTCACGTCTGTGCCAGTCTTTCCGGCCGATCCAAATGGTGTGCCCACCCACGAAGAACTGAAGGAGGCCTGGTGCTCGGAGCTGTTGCATCCCGAGAACATTCGGAATAGCAGCCATGCCGTATTCCTGCGCGAGAATCGAGCGGATTGCAACGAGCGCCTGTTCGCGTGGAATGGATTAGAAGACACCTTCGGCATCTTGAACGTGGGCGATATGCAGTACGGCAACATTGAATTCCCAGTAGTCATTTCGCCGCCTCTCTCCACATGCGGAGGTCTGGGTGCGGCGATCCACAGCTGTCCGTCCATCGACGAGTATGGAGATACGATTGCAATGATTGTGAATGACCGCACGATTCGCCTATACATAGTTCCACACCAGGTCGACGAGGACACTACAACTGTCGAGGCACATAGCATTGACCACGAGCTAGATGAGGGATATGGGTGTCCGTTCAGTGAGGCACGGTGGGTTCACAGCCCAAGCTCATTACCGGCGCCTTTGAACGACCAGACGGGAGCGAAGGGGAGATTGATAGTGACAAGCCCGGGCGGTGTCACTGAGGCTGGAATCAGCGAAGAGAGCGTGGAGGATATCGAGGGTGGCCGCATCATCCTCTTCGACTTTGATCCCCAGTTTGCCGGGCAACCGGGACAGACGTTCTGCCTCACGCTAGGGAAGAGTCCACCGCAGGTGCTGGAAGAGGAGCAAGTCGATGTCCAAGAGCAGGTTGCCCTGGTGCGGAGGAGAACGGTGAATCAAAGCAAAGGCGGTGGGCTGAGCTCGAGGCCGGCGACACTGGGCCGAGCAGCAACAACGTACGGTGGGCGGGCGCTCCGGATTGCAGGGCCCGCGTATGGGAATGTGGGTGCGAGTAGGAATCGGAACAGCATGCAATTGATCGGGAGCATGTCTTCAGACGCCGCCAGGAGCTTACCGGATCTGATGGAGAACAACGAGCCGGCTGATGTCTCCCTCGAAGAGCCATACGCCCCAGGAGCGCCGCGGTCACAGGCATCATTACAGCGTGCTGCTTCGAACATCCAGCGGCATCGATTCCAGACCTTGGAAGAGCGACAACGAGAGCGAGCCAATTCGGGTTCCAATGGGCACTTCCTGCCTCTGCCTGAATACACCGAAGAGCCCAACGCCCCGTTGCCCAGCAGGTACCGAGCAATGGCTGGACTGGACAACCCGGCCGCCATGCATCCTTCGAAGCCAGCTGTTGCTACAGCGCCGAATGGCGTTCTCGCTGGGTCAAGCTCACTGGTCGTACAGACTGCACCGCCGGATATTGGAGAGAACTTCAGCGCGGAACAGGCATTTCTAGCTGCAAATGCTAGAGCAGCAATTGTCAGAGAACAGGCAATGGAACAGAGACCACAATCCGGAGGCACGCAACAGAGTCAGTTGTCGACGCCCACCTCAGCCACAAGGCCGGATGCCGTGAACAACTTCATACCAACACTCAGGGGTGCAGGATACGAATCATACACTCCCGAACCCGGTTCTGGTACCTTTGATTCAATCGATCCCGCGCAAGGAACCCTGATGTTCAACGCCATACCGCCTCCCGTCAGGACCGGCACCGTCGATTCCATCTCGTCTCTACCACGAAGTCTGCAACGGGCGTACAGCAACGCCGTCTCGCCCATGGGCACAGGCCCCCCTCCCAGCCTGATCGGCGACTGGCGAAACGTCAGCCCCATCGCGGATCCCGGCTCTGCCGCTGGGTCCATCAGGCGTGGTGGTGGTGGTGGTGTTGCGCCGCCCTGGTCTGCTGGAATCCGAGAAGACGAGCCCTGGGACGCCATCTCGCCCGTGCAGCCCGAGCCGTCTCGCCCGTTTGGACCACCGCAAGGCAGCCCCCATCGGTATTCCACCTCCCTGCTCAATCCCCCGGGACACATGGCGCCGCCGCGCCCCCCGGGCTCTTCGTCTTCCTACGCGACCAGCCTGAGCGGCACCAGCGAGCCCTCCTCCTTTGCAACAGGCGGCAGGAGAATGCCGCCGCATATGCAAGCCTTCCGCAACGCTGCCGCTGCCCAGGCCTCGGCCTCATTATTCCCTCCCGCGGTGCCACCCGACCACGTCCCCTATCGACAAAACACCACGCGAGCGGGCACCGCAGCACACCCCATCACCGCATGGCATCCGCCCGCAGCCGCCTCGGTACCCCCACGACCGCGAACCAGCGGAAGCACGCACGCCAGCCGATCGCGAAGGAGTGTCTATGAGCCGCCCAAGAGCCCTGGTCCCACGACGCCGACGCCGACGCTCGCACCCAAGGCGAAGAAGAGGGGTCTTTTCCGGAAGACCCGCAAGCATGACCCCTACGCGCCCTCCGCGTACAATGAAGGGCAGATGGAAGGGAGCAGTAGCATGATGGAGACCAAGAGCGTGGTGACGTGGTTGACGAAGCGGGATAGCAAGTGTGTCGTCATGTGATGATGATGATGGTGTGCGTGCGATGGGATGTGATACGATACGATACACCTCTTTTTTTCCGTGATGAAGACAATTCGTTCATTCTTGCGACACGCTTCAAACGAGAATCGACGACGAAGGGACATAAGCGAGAGAAACGATGTTGAAAGTACAAAGTCGGAAGAAGCAGATGAAAAAGGACCAGGAGGGGAAGGATAGATTTGGGACATAGTAGAAGATACCCCCCTTTTTTACCTTGACGAAGCGAGCGAGCGAGCGATTCGAAGAACTTTTTGTGTTACCTAGCAGGCGAGCTTCTTGGACGGGATGGAAGAGAGAGACAGAGGCGCTCTCTGGGCTGTGCCCTCGGATTGTTATGAGCCTATTGCTTGTAGATTTAGCGACAGAACGAGGAATGGAAGTTGCCCGCAGAGGCACAGAGTCCCAGTGGGATGGATGGGAATCTTGTTTCGTCTCACTGGAGTTTTGTCTCCCGTGGAACCGACTGCTGCCGGTATATCGTGCGGCTCAGCAATGCTTCAGGATGTACTGTATGCTTCGTGGGGCACTGTGTGTCTTCTATTCCTCCTCCGTTTTGTTGATTTCTCTCCGTGCCTGTTCTTACATACAACATAGCCCTCCATGCTCATATCACCTCTACTGCAGATCCGGAAACTTCCTCAAGAAACTGCTCGCCTGGTTAGCAACAGCCCATCGCCTCCTCAACGGGGTGTGACTTACTGGCTCGGACACTCATATCCACCGGGGTTATTCTGCAGGTATAACTGATGATACTTCTCCGCATCCCACCATTCCCCCGCGGGCAGGATCTCCGTCACAATCCCACCCTTCCACCACTGCTCATTCGCCTTCCTCGTCACCTCCTCCGCGACTTTCTTCTGCTCCTCATCGTGATAGAAAATCCCACTCCGGTATTGCGACCCCACATCGGGACCTTGGCGATTACTCGTGGTGGGATCGTGCATCTTGTAGAAGTATTCCAGCAGAGTCCGGTACGAGACTTTCTGCGGGTCGTAGATGAGTTGGCAGGCCTCCGCGTGGCCCGTCCGGCCGGAGCAGACGGCGCGATAGGAGGGGTCTTTGGTGTCGCCGCCGATGTAGCCCACGCGGGCGTCGAGGAGGCCCTTGTCGGAGGCGCCGAAGTCGTGGCGGTACATGTGCTCGACGCCCCAGAAGCAGCCGGCGGCGATGGTGGCGCGCTGGGCGCCTTCGGGGAGGGACATGGGGGCGGAGGGGGTCTCGGGGGCGAAGTGGAGGGTGCTGGTGGTGAAGGGGCGCATCAGGCGGTTGAGCAGGTTGGCCATGGTGTAGGCGCCGAGGAGGCCGAGGAGGAGTTTGGTGGGGAGATTCAGGTTGATTGCTGGGCGTGGGCGAGTCGGGTGGATATTGTGTGAAGGTGGTGAAGGTGAAGGTGGTGAAGGTGAAGGTGTATCGGAAGAGAAAACATCTTTTGGAATCACAGAATCATCAATAATCAAATTGATGACAGGGAACAGCTCGAGCTCGTGGCGGGGCGCGAGTGGCGACATCGGATGACATCATCTCGCTTTCGGCTTTCACAAGATTATGTAAGTGAATGAATGAATGCGGGTCGGTGCGAGCGGAGACGACACGTGACGGGTCACGAGACTTTAATCCGCCTATCTTCGGTCTTCAGATTGATCTATAACTGGTCTAGTCGAAGACGGGCCCCATAGTCAAGATATTATCGGCGTCACGAGATAGCCGCCAGTCGGCTGGAGCCCTGCAAGTCCTCCATCAAGGTGTCTTGGCTGCATGAAACTTCACTCGGATTCGGTCGGAGAGATTCACATAACTACATGACGCTTCTAAAGGCAGGAGGTGCATGCAATTCGCTCCAGTCGACTGCGATGGAGACGTTCATACCCGAGCGGGCCTTGTGAAGAGGCCGATATGCCCGGACATCGCATTGGCCAGTGCCTTTAGAATCGCGGATTGCTAGTTCTCCTAGGTTTCGCCGGCCATCGACGTCTCCCTACACCAATACGGAATTCGACAAGATGGCAACCGTGAACAAAGCGACGGAACACACTGTTGGGCTGACTACTGTAACTCCGATTCCACCACCAGAGACGGAAGAGACAGACTTCGCACCGCAGGACAAGATTCCAGCATGGAGAAAGTTCCTGGGACTCTTCTGGGACTCCTTCTCAGGACCACCACGGGAGAGACGATATATTCGGACACTCGACACTTATATGTTCTCCTACATGTGTCTGGCCTACTTCATCAAGCAGCTGGATCAGACCAACATCAGCAATGCCTTCGTTAGCGGCATGCTGGAACATCTATCTCTCCATGGGAATGAACGCAATTGGCTGAATACATACTTCAACATTGGCATCATGCTGGGGACCTTGCCTGCTCAGATGATCCAGATCCAACTTATCCGTCCGAGCCTCTGGATTCCTTGCTGCGAGATTGTCTGGAGCGTTTTGGTGATCGGAATGGCTTTCGCACAGGATGTAACGACATTATACACGCTGCGCTTCCTGGTTGGTTTCGCTGAAGCGTGTGTGTTTCCGAGCTTCTCCGCTCTGCTTGGGGGTTGGTATGGCGCCATGCAACTGAACAAGCGTATGGCGTTGTTCGAGCAGACCAGCGCTATTGGAGACATGTTCAGCGGATACCTTCAAGCTGCGCTGTATACTGGTCTCGACGGACATTCCGGATTGCAAGGCTGGCAGTGGATGTTCATTGTAGATGGTCTCATTGGCATTCCGATTGCTCTCTGGGGCTTCTTTGCGATCCCGGATTTGCCGCACACTACCCGGGCTTTCTACTTGTCCCAAGAGGTCAGGAGCGAATGTGTCAGCCGTGGAGCCTCGCTAAAGACCGGCAGGACAAACGATATGGCGTCGACCGAGCTGAAAGGCACGGCCATTATGAATCGGAGAAGTTGTCGTTGAAGGGCGTCGTCCGAGTGTTCCTCAACTGGAGACTGTGGCTTTGGCTGCTGCCTTATGTGTAAGACCACGGCGATTGCAGTAATTCCAATCCATGATTCTGACTATACTGTTATTCGTAGCATGGTCGGCCAAGCAAGTTCCGGACTGAAATACTTCAACCTATGGCTCAAATCCGAAGGCTACAGCGTAGTAGAAATCAACATCATCCCGACAGCTGGAAGTGCTTTGAGCATTGTCTCATCCCTTGCAGTGGGCATCCTGGTGGACAACCTAGGCTGTCCCGCCACGACTATCGTTGCGATCCAAATCCTAGTCATGGCTGCCAATATGACCCTTTCCATATGGTATGTGCCCAAAGCAGCGATCATGTCGGCGAACTACTTGCTGTATGTCGGATACGCCGCGCAGCCGATCAACATCGTAAGTCCACTCCTACGCCTTCCCGTCCGGATTTCCTGCTGACTGCTTGCTGCTCAGGCTTGGGGCCATCGTCTGACTGCTAGCGATCCTCACCTCCGACAACTCCTTGTTGCTAGTGGGAATGTGATCTCATACAGCTTCAACGCCTTCATTCCCTGTGCGTGTATAGCTCCTGACCCCTTCTTGCTAATAAGCGATAAACTCTCCTAACTCCGAGATCCGCAGTGAGCCTCTTCCCGACCTACGACGCTCCGCACTACGATTACGGATATCAGGTCATGACCCTGTTCTCCGGCCTCGCGATCCTCGGTACGATCCTGATGTACAGACTACAAGATAGATTCCCTCGAGGTTAGTCGTCTTTGATTCTAGCCTGGCCTTTTTGTGACGATATTCATACGACGATCTAGATGGCGGAGACATACTGGCGGCGACGTCGAAGCGGGACTGAGACATAGACTTCTAGAATAGCTTTCTTCGACATTAAGGATATTTGGAAATCTTATCGACACACTGCTTCAAGCAGTCTGCGCAAAACAGTGTGTCTGTAGCTTGTCTTGACTCAGCGAGGTGATTTCATCCCGACAGATGGGGCATTCTAGCTGCCAGCGCTTGCAGAAACTCGCGGTGGAGGAAGGTAATGCATCTTGGATTGATATTCTGACGGGCAACGTTCTGTCACGGGAAACATCATCTCTACATATGTAAGCGATACGTTTGTCTGGAGTAGAGGATGTCTCCAAAGAGGTGATGGGTCTCTGACACGCTTTCAGCGGGTCCATGCCCAGTCACGGTGAGTCTTTGTGCTGGTAAAGATCGGAGTTTTGGACTGTAGGATATTACAAGAGACCGCGCCTGAGTAGCTTGGGTTCACGTTTCGTTTGGATCATTTTCACTACCCAGATAACTGCAGACACCCTGCAAAGCTCAATTCCAACATTGTTTTGCTTCTCTCGCCTGGCCGAGACCTCAACCTCAAAGCTCCCTCTCGTACGCACTCCAAATTCCCATAAATCCTCCCCGATTGGAGCAGTCTTGCAATTCTCCTTCACATCCCTCCGTCGAGTTCAATTCTGGATATCCTGCCGTATTGAGCTGAGTGTATTCTTGATATTAGCCGCGAGAGCAGTCAACAATTGGACGGACACTTAGGAATTGGATGTTACGGTTTGTAGTTAAGCAGCTTGTGCTGCGATTTCGGGAGTCGCGGGAGGGATGAGCACAGTGAAAGTTAAGGGAACATTTCGATCAGGTAAGGGATTATCCTGCTGAGCACAAGCTTCAGAGAGGGAACCTGCAGTTTCGTTATTACGGTGGCTGATAGTATCTCCTCGTCTGATTCTTTGGGATCCTCATCTTTCGGGTATTCATCGTCTGAAGCGCTGGGGTCCTCGTATTCATTTTGCTCCCTCTGACTCCCTATCGCCGGTCTCCTCGTCCTTCTCTTCATCCTCCTCTTGCTTGTCGTTATGATTACCCTCGCTCTCCTCGCTCTCCTCACCATGTTCTTCGCCATAGTGCTCGCTATCTTCGCTTTCTTTACGATTATCGTCACCTGCATCGTGTCCGTTCGAGTTCCGTTGCCAATTAGGGGCGTGCCGCTTGAATACACAAAAAGGGCAGTGACAACGTAAAAGCCGTGTCCGCATTGTCAGATAAGTAGTATGTGGGTTGTTTGCTACAAGTGATTGTCGCCATTATCTCGTCGCAGAGGGACCAAGCGGATAGGATGTTATTGCCTCAAAATGCCATTTTCAAGTACATTGCCTGCACATTTGCTTGCTCGTAGCAGCAATGCAATGGAGCGGGCTTCTAATCAATCATTCAATTCTACCTTGCATCAGCAGGAACGTGAGCTATCAAAATGTGAAGGGGAAGAAGCCTCGAAGAAAGTGCTGGCACGCCTCTCACGAAAAGACCTCGCAGCCTCAGGCGACACCAACGACGCTCATAATATGGGCGAAATTTTCGCCTCAGCCAATCAGTGCCCCGATGAATCAGTATGTGGCTCGAATGACGTTTGCTTACCTATTTCTCCCTCCCAATGGATAGATATGACCATTCCCAAAGCTCAGGGGAAGTCGACGTTTAGCATAGCCTTTGCGCCAAGCTCGCCCTCGGCCTCACCCGCACCTTAAAGACCACTCTACTATTTGTGCTTTTTTTTCCTGGAATCGCTCTCGACCGCGGAGTCACAGACCAGACTTCGATCAAGCCGCCGCATTGCACAGCGTAGCTCTCTCCAACGGAGATAAAAAGGGAGAAGTTCTCGGAAGACATACCTACCTCACACAAACGAGGCATGTCCACGGCGCATCCTGACGACCACGAAGAATCTCGACGGAAAAGACTCAAACTGTGCGATCCTTCCCTACCTTGCGAGTGCGCGACGGCCTTTCCGCTCGTCAACATCATGGCCAGCAAGGACCAGGGAGAAGGACTGGATCACAGCGCCGAGGCGGATCGGACGCGAAAATTCGCCACGTCGTTGCCCGAGAACCTGAAATCCCGCGAGGGGATAATGCAGTTGTTCGACAGCCTACGCGAGGGAATGGATGAGGGGAAGCCAGATCTGTTCCAGGCGATCAACGACCACGGCCGTCTGATGCTGATTTTTGTTGTGCTTTGTGGCTTTGATGGGCAGATGGAGCGATTCAGGACTGAGAGGGCTTTGCGGAGAGCTCTGCCTTCAAGCGAGCCGCGGCGGAAGCGTAGATCAAGAATGCCGAACGGGGTTGGATACGCGCCGGAGCTGGATTTCGATCCGGACGAGGTGGATGCGGAAGATGATGGGTTTCTTGAGGCCTTCCAAGGCCACGAGTCATCGGCGCCAGGATGGATGTCTCAGCTTCCAGATTCCATGTTGTCCAACAACAGCATGAGCACACTGAAGAACCAATCTGAGGGACAAGCTGACTGGACAACGTTCCCTAAGCCGCCGCAGCACGTGTTCAGTGGCATGTCTGGGAAAGTGGAAGATCTTTCAGGATACGGCGATGCTCAGACCAAGTCTCAAGGTCCGTCGTTTGCAGGCAAATCGCTCTTCAAAGATCTTGATTTCTTAGTGGGCAACATCTTGGACCAAAGCCAGAATTTGCAGACACCATCTGCTCCGACGAACTTTGAAGGCTTTCAACACTTCTGTCCGACACACAACAAACTTGACAACGTCGGAGAAGAGCCCGCTGCCGACAGAGTATCGCCTCTAGCAGGACAGCTCCAGGAGCCAAAGCAACAGCCGCTGGTGAAGAATGAACAGTTGTCAGAGATGGCGCTGCTGTTCCAAGGCGATCTCGAGATGCCGTCGCAGACCCAAGGGCATGAGCAACGAAAGCTAGCTGCGTGGAATCAGGCGCTTGACAAGCCTGTGCCAAACGCTATGCCATCTAAGCAAGACGCTATGCCTGACGATCGCGATGATGTCGCCGCAGCCAAAGTCAGAGCACCACTTGTCTTCGACCAAGACGAAAATGAGGCAGAGGATAGATTGGCAGCGCAGGTGTTTCAAGCTCTAGCACAGCTGATGGAGGCATTGGACAAGTCGAATCATGATGCCTCGTCCACCCTGGTAGATCTCCTCAGCCGTAGCTCTCTGCTCGACAAGACGGCGGAGTTGCTGCGCAACGGATGCCTGAAAGACATCTCCAAGAGAAAGCAGCTCTATGAGGTTCTGATAACGTTCCTGCACGGGCTTGCATTGCTTCCTAGTACAAGCCGCTTGTTCTGGAAGCGGCGAGTAGCGAACTCTGGAGCCGGTCACAGCCTGTTGAGGGTAGCGCTGGGAAGTCCGACTCGAATGAGCGGCGAAGAGGAGGAAACGACCCAGTCCTTAAGCACCAGCATGAAGGATTTGTCCGCCCTGGCAAAGTATACGTTAAAGCATCCAGACCCCAACGACGACAGCGATGCCAGTAGATGTCGTGGCCTCTTCAGGAGCATAAGAGAGTTGCGGCGCCAGATGAAAGCGAACCTATCTGGACAGGGACAAGAAGAGGTCGTCAGAAAGGACAGTCGTATGAACAGTAAAGGCGCGGACACCTGGCAAGAAGCGGAACTTTGGGTCGAAGTAGACGAGAGCCAGATCATGGCGCGTTTCAAATTCGACAAGGAGGCTACGACCGCGCACACGACGTGTCTACCAGCCATGCGCATGAAGAAGCTCGTCAAAGATCAGAAGCTTCTCGCCTCGGAGCTGCAGAGCGCTGGCGGTATCTTTGTGCGCTACTGCAGCAGTCGCCCAGATATGATGAAAATCCTCATGGTAGGCCCGCAAGACACGCCATATGAGAACGGCTTGTTCGAGTTCGACCTCTGGTGCCCAGGCGACTACCCATCCGTCCCACCCCGAATGCACTTCAGGACAACTGGACGAGGCACAGTTCGCTTCAACCCGAACCTGTACACCGACGGAAAAGTCTGTCTCTCGTTGCTGGGCACCTGGGGTAACCAATGGAACCCAGCAGAGAGCAGCATCTTTCAGGTTTTGCTCTCAATTCGATCAATGATCTTTTGTCCCGAGCCGTACTGCAACGAGCCAGGTTACGAGAAAGAATATGGATCGGAGGCGAGCAAGGTCTATACCGGTCACGTCCGTCCCGCGACCGTCAGGCATGCAATGCTCGATTGGATGGACCCGGAACGGTGCCCGCAGATGTGGAGGGAGGTAGTCCAGAAGCACTTCCAGCACAAGGAAGAGGCTATTCTCGCAACAGTCCGCGAGTGGATCGGAGGAAGGCCTCCAACGAGAATGTCCAGGGTTAGAACCCACATGCAGACTCTCGGCCAACTCAGCCAGGCGATCATGAACATGAGAAAGGAGCCGGAGAAGTCGCCATCGCCGTCGCCGTCATCCTCAGCAGCACCGATCTGGTCTCCCGTCGGAACATTTCGTGAGAAGCTTCAGAGTGCGGTGAAGGAGTTGAGATAGTTTTGGACTGTGAACGTGCTCTGTCAACAGGCAGACACGGGGGCGGAGTGTTGGTGTGGTGAGGACAAGGCATGTTGCGTATGTAGCAGATGGCTCCAGCTTCCATATCAGTTCTCATCGTACCCATCGCATCTCCATCTCAATACTCAAAGCTCGTCGGCTATATGACTGCTTCGTTGCAATGTGGACCAATGTTACAGAGGAATCCACCGGCGTGCTTGGCCGTGGCACGCCGTGTCGTTCGCCGATTCCAACCTGTTCGAAAGTCCATGTCCCGCTGATGTCCATGTCGATGCCATCGCTGGAAAGTTCAATCTTCGAAGGCTGAAGATGTAGTTGGTAGGTAATGTAGTGGTAATGGAGGATGTCGGGATGGAAGAAACCTTCACCTCCCGTTGTGAGATCCTTGGCCTGCATGCCAAGGAATTACACCACACTTGCTAAAGTGGTATTATGCCTAAGTGTGAAAAACTCTGGTCTTGGCAGCCAAGCAGAGGGGATATAAAAACACCTCAAAACCTTATATAGATAGCCGGGCCATGAACCTTCTTTGTTAGTCAAAGCTCTCACAACGACACTGCCTGGGAAGCATACGAAACCAGCCTTGCCCAGCATGCGCAGTGCGCCGCACGCCGCCTTCTTCGCCTAAGCACGATCTGCACCACCGCTGCCGCTGCCCATGGTTCCTTCGGGGATGAAAGCATCAGTGTGCCACAACGAAGCCGACTTCAAGAGGCATACAGACATTCATGCTTATACTCCTAAACGAGAGTCTGGTCACTAAGGAGATTCCGGTAAACCTTGTGAATCATCGCCGGACATCCAGGAGGCCGAATGCGGCTCGAATACTTGCTACCAGTGCCCCGAAGTCCAAACGTTCGCGGTTTTCATTCGCGATATGTCGAAGCTAAATTGACTCGAGCAGGGAGTCGCTCTATAGTTTCATTGTTCTACAATGGAGCTGACAGCCTTCCAGCGTTCCGTTAGGACTCTATGTAGCCTTTTCGAATACTTGGGGACTCCTGCCCACCGTGAAAGACCTGACTCAACAAGACCAAGTCCACAAATTTCTCTGGTACGGACCGCATCAGTCGGGGGAGCAGGCAGGCGATGTTACGGCCTGCATTCAAGATTTGGGTAGCGACCAGTGCAAGCGTGAATAGCGATGCATCTTCTGCTGTGGGTGGAACACTGAGTGTCGAATGCCACCGAGTTGCTGCGACTGAGCTGTACAGGCTTGGCATGACATTGGGTTGGAATAGGCGTCTGTCTTTTTACTGGCTTCTCCTTACTGGCTTCTCTTTACTGGCTTCTCTTTCCTTGGCTACTCGCAAGCATGCATAATATTTTCGACAGACGAGCGAAAACCTGCGGCTTTTGAACGGGGTTCCGTGGCCGGAGTGAAGACTCATCTTGCGTGTCCTGACTTTCTCATCTCAAGACGACGTCGCTTGAAGCCATACGGTTGGCCAAACGACGGCCTCTGCTATTCTAGGAAGTGTCAAACATCGTGGTAAGTCGTTTCGAGACTGGGCAGTAAATCTTTCAGGCTCCACAAAGGCAGCCCTCCAACGATCCGGCGAGGCCACGAGCTTTTGCAGAACCACCACACTCCGCCCATTACGAGTACAAGCGTCCCGACTGCCATGTCAAATTCGTCCACGCGCTTTGCACTTGCTTTGCCCAAGACCCTAACAGTCTTTGCATTGACACGACCCGTTTCGTGCACCAGGTCACGATATGTCACAAGCTGACCTGAGCATATTCGCGCAGTGGGATTCTCCACCGCCTCATGAAGGAAGCAAATTTGGCGGCCGCCATCCGAAGGCATGATAAAGCCGACCCCAGAAGCGGCATCGAACGCCCTGATGGTGCCCTCTTTCCCGCTCAGATAATAGTTTGTGGTCTTCTTCTTCTTCTTCTTCTTCAACATGTCCATCAACAAGAAGACGGTAGCAGCGCCACTGTCAACAAATCAGAAGGGCAGGTCAAACTTTAGTAAGCTGTACGCACGTAGTAAATCCAATCAGAGCACCAATCCCTCTCGCGGCATCTTTCTCCATGTCGTGCTTGGCCATTGCCGTTGTAAACTGGCGCGTATAATTCGCCGGTGATTGTATTGTCTGCGAAGTTCGTCCCGATAGCCATTGCGAGGCTTCATGCCACAGACCGCTCGCGCTAGCCATGCTTGCACGTCTCAGACATTCACCAGTCCACCGCGATGGCTGCAACAGTGCGTCGAGACCAGACTTTTAGCCAGATTGAGATGACTGAACGAAGAGATGCTTGATGGTGATGGGGTGAGGTTTAAGGGATCGAAAGGAAGCAAAGGCAATTGGCCATGGCCAATTGGACAGCGCGATATCAGCGGCAGCGGCCGTCGATATAACCCCCGATATGGGAAATGCTGTAATGCAGTGTAATGAGAGAGGTGTCGCCATTTCTGAGACGGAATTAGAAGCCTGATCATTCTTCCTCCATTCGCGTCGCGACACTCCGCTACCACCAACGTCTGTGATGCTCTTCAGAGCCCACGAGGACACATGAAGGAATTCCTAATTGATGCATGATCTCGGGCCCTCATCTCGCATCTGATCAGAACGTCCGTGCATTTCCGCCAATGTTATTCCGATTGACTAGATCATCAAAATGAAATGATCACTTCCCAGAACAGCACATCGCCTTTCCATCTGGTCGTACAAAAACCTTCAAATGGGTGTTGTGGTCAGAAGTCTCAAAGTACTCACCCACTTGCTGAAGTACAGGTCCGAGAGGCTACGAAGCATCGGGAGTCCAAAATGCATATGAAGTTGGTGTAAACTCACGCATTTCTCGACATCCGTCTCCACATCCTGCAGCAGCCTCCTCCTCTGTTAAACGGCACTCCAACCTAAATCTCTAAAGCAGAATGTAGTGAAGTACTGACTGGTGATGCAGCAGGATTGGGCGTCGGGATCGATGGCCTTCAACGCGCACGGTGATGAGGGGAATAGCGTCGGTGGGTAAGGGCCTTGATATGCATTGTAGTGCCTAAGAGGGACTGGGTAGTGACGAAGGGAAGGGGTGAGCTTGAGAGTGAAAAGGGTCCTCTGGTCTATATCTCATACCTGCGAACTTAGAAGATGGAGTCATGCCAGGACCTTGGATTTGTGCAAGGCGACCCGCCGGTCGGGCTATTATCGATCGAAGAAAGTCCAGCGATTCGCATCTCGGGTTGGACGAGAATTCAATGGAAATTCGGGTTCAGGTTCGCGACAGTACGCGACTTCTACGATTTCACAGATTACCACTGGGCCTTGAAAGAATTAAGTATGGGAGTGCCGTCACTGTTCGAGGCGATACAGACTAGACATTACAGCCCACAGCGATTGAGCGCTCAGTCGCCAGCTGTACCGGTTCTCGCATATTCCTCCGTCCATCACTTCTTCGTCTCATCAGTCTTCTCGTCAATCGTGCAGTACCCATTCAGCGGACTGGTTTGCGGTCTGCTCCGCCTCAGCTTCAGCTTTCTTCCGCCGGTATTCCTCCAAGTACGCCTGAGCTTTCTTGCCATCGATGGACGACATGTCTTTCTCCTTTTGCCGCTTCCTGGGGGCAGACGCAGCGCTGAGCGATGGGAATGCTTCCTGATCTCCAACGTCGATCGCCTTCGCATCTTGCTTTGGTAGGTCTGCACGCGCTTTGCCTTGCCCACGGTCGGTGGGCTTCTGCCGCTGCGCTATGTCCTGCTTCGTCTCAAGAATCGGCTTCGTGGCAGAATTGTCCGGTCGCCACTTACTAGCATCTGCCGTGGCTTCCAGAGGCTTGAGTCCGTCCGATGTTTCAACGGGCTGTTCTGCTTCGACAAGTTCAGCGAAAAGCTCACCTTCTTGCGATGGACGTCCTTGTCCAACGTGGAGGAGAATCCGGTAGGCTCTCCTGAATTCGTCCCGAATGGCGACAATACCGTTATGGGTGACAGTTCTTGCAACATTGTGCGCCAACTCGAATGGATCTTCAATGCAGAACAGATAGCGATACTGCACCTTCTTGCCTCCGCTCTCCTCAGTAGTAGCCTTGACCCAGCCTTTGGATGTCTTGGTGAGTATGCCACCCTCAGTGCGTAAGGAAAGTACTTCTGTCGTCCATCTGAACTGTGCTCCGCGCATCTGAGCAGAGAAGTACTGAAAAAAGCCGACCAATAGTGATCCGACAGACTCTTGGTTGGAACTCATCTGGCCCATTTGAAATGCGCTCTTGATCTCATCCTCGTTCCGCCAGAAGTCAACGTCCCAACCGTCGACTTCGACCTTGTTGGCACCTCGAGGAGTGCATCGCCGGTCAGGACGCCAGGAATGCTGTAAATTCGGAATGACCGGAGGCCGTGCGACATTCATCAAGTAGTGCAGTACCATGAGCACGAAGCCGTAGCTAGAAAGTGTGCCAGAATAGGAGCTGTTTATCTTCCGAAGCTTTGCCCAGGACTTCACGAATAACACCATGGGACGTACTCGTGGGTCACACAGAGAGTAGCAACGCAGCATCTGCGTATTGTGAAGGCCAAGTGGATTAAAGAAGTTGATGTCGCATTGAATGCCAACGCCATCTTTTGGAAAGTCGAGGGGACCCGGCTTCCTCTCGCGTGTCCAGGTGTTGTTGTAATCGCGCTTTTGCTTCACGTGATTAGAAGTATCAGTGTTCGTGGTGACGATGTGCGCCGTCTCCAGTGCTGTTTCTGAAGTGCCTGTCGATATTTCCCGGAGTGTGCTCTCTTTCGTCACAGTGTCCTTTGTCTCAATAATTGAGGCGTCCGCAACGACGCCCTGTACAGCAGCTGATGTCACAGCAGCTTCCACCCGCGCGCCTCCGGTAGACTGAGGGGCGTCCTCGCCGTCATCGTCGCCTTCCGGGTAGAGATGGGGGTACTTCTTCTCAATAGGAAGGGATTCCCATCTCTCGCGCTCGACAACCAGCTTATCCAGAAAACTTGCACCAGGGCTCTGACAGACCTTGATGATAGGTACTCGCGTTCTCGTCAGCAAGCGTGCGCCGTGGCCGGCCTGTAGTAGCTTCTTCTCGAGCGAGCGTGGAAGATCATCTTCGAGCATAGAGAACACCGCTTCGGTAGATGACTGATCTTGTACGACAAGGGCAAGATCCATATCCGAGCCTGTGGAGGCGAAGCCGCTGGCAAACGAACCAAAGCATTCAAGTTGGACCTTCGGCAGCTTTGGGTTCTCTTCGCACAGCTCATGACAGAGCTTCTGAAGGGTTTCTTGGAATGTCTCCTTCGAACCACGCTCGGCTTGGCTCATCTCTACGGGAGGAACCACCTTCTGGACAGTATCCTGGAGATATTGATTCTGCAGTTCGCGCTGATCATTGTACGTGAAGTTTGGGTCTTGGAGTTGAGCATTGGGCTCGAACAGATGCGGCCGGACTTGGCCCTGTACACGTCCACCGCGTGCGAAAGCGTTCGGATCGAGTTGAACCTGCTGTTGCCGCTGCTGTCTCTGTCCAGGACCTCCTCGGCCGGCACCTCTCGCATGCCCGGGACGGCCGCGGTAATGTAGCTGCTGATAATGAAGCTGGTTAGTTTGATGCATATTTTGTGGTGCTCCTAGATGCGCATTGCCGCGAGGTCGTATGTATGGTGGCATGGCATGCGGCAGTGGTTGTGGCGGTGGCTGGTCTGGGCCTTGCATTGGGTCTGGTGCAATATGTCGTCGCTGAACAGGCAGTCCACGTCTCGGATACTGTGGCATAGCCGGAGCGCAATACGCAGGAGAGCCATCGTATTGCGGCTGTATGGGCTGTGGCTGAACGTAGTTGGGTCCGTAGTTAGGGGGCGGAAGGCGCACTCGTGGAGTGTTTTCTGATGGACTGTTTAAGACCATTTGCCTGCTGCCGAGTCAGTATCTCCAAAGAGATCCGCGGAGTGGAATATTGCATTCGAAAGTATTGACTTCATACCTGAATTGATCCTCGAAGTTGGCCGGCGGCTGATTGGGCGCGCGACCGTCCATCTTGCTGTTGTGCTCTCGTGTCAAACGCGCTTCTTCGATGCCATTGACTTGATCGACTCCAAAACGCCGGCAATGCACAAGCAACTCCCCAAACGCCAGCGCGCCCGCCGCAAAGAAGTGAAGAGGTGCGTGAAGTTGATGTTGGCGACAGTAACGGTGATGGCTTCGTGCCGGCGAATTTGGTCAGGTTTCGGATTTAAGCTTTTGCTCGGCAGATTCCCGGCTAAACACCATTCTATGGCATCCCTGACACATGCTCGAACTCTAAGCAACTACACCTCCTCCATATTCACTCCGAGCGCCTTAAGGGATGGCATTACGTTCTCGACGAAGGCAATGGGGCTTGTGACTGTATCTCGTGGCACTGTACTAGCAGGGAGAACGAGACGTAGAAAGATTGCTTTGGTATGGGATCACTACCAAGAGAAGAGCCATGGTCTATCAATCCGTCACATTCTCGATGCAAAACGAACAATACCGCTTCCAAACGAACAGTATCGCACATGCGGTGTTGTCGAAAGACTCAGGCTCTTTTGCTTTTGCTCCTCGGCCCATGCCTCATATGATTGTACATACTCCACATCCCTATTGTTCATCATTCGTACACACCTGACAATCCCACAACCCCAGACTACGAGACTGTCGAGTGGCATCCAAGCTTTGTCGCTCCTCCGTACATAGTATAAGTCTTGACAGTCTGCAGCAGAAACATTAGCACCGTTGCCTTCATGCGCTGCACGAGCAAAGGGACCTACAGAGCCAGCGGAACAAGTCGAAGTCGACGTAACTGACGTCCAAGATGTCACAGGAGTGGCTGTTTCGCAAGACCAGGAGTCGGTCGCTATGCCGACCATGCCTGCGACTGGAGCCTATTGAGAAAACATCAGGGACTTTGTATGTATGCCGCGTGTGCCGATTGACTCACCGCTGTGCAACCCGAAGGACAATCTCCCTTGGCCGTAAGAATTGACGTAGGGCATGAGACATTGAGGGCAGCTGAAGTGGCCGCAGGTACCACCGGAGTCGGGGCCATGTAGACATAAACCTGAACGGCTCGGGCCTGGACGACTGGAGACGCGGCGATGGGCGAGATGAAAAGCAAGCAAAAAGCCGCCAGGGCGGTCATGGTATTGACACTGAATGGCATGTTGATCCAAGCGAACGATAAGGCAAAGCTATGAAAACAATGTCAGCGGCCAAAATTAATCGATAAAACATGAAGAGAAGAACGTACTTAAGAACAAACTTTAAATGAACTGATAGGGACTTCCTTGCTTCTACCATCTCGCAGACAACGCGCCAGACCTACCAGCATTTAACCATCTCAAGCTCCTAGCAACGCCAACATGACGAACACAGGGTCACGCGAAAATCCAGTGGCCGGGGACCTAACGAGACGCACGAGAGAATCCTTCGGCTCCCCAACTGCAACCAACAATCCTTGCCCATCGGCCGTTTCAAAATCCCCACCACCGACATCTTCCTCATCTCTCTTCGGATCAACCAACTGGGGGACGCGTTCTTTGTTGAAATGCTCCTGCAGTCATACTGCGACACCTGCATCGGGAACCAGTCCAATTGGCAAAGCTGCAAGTCGGAAGCCTCGAAGCTCGTATTGAATGACGACGGGCTTCTTCAGGTTTTCGAAGAGAACGAACTAGCAAGCGTTGTACGACAGCTGCTCGTGCCTGAGGACACCGGAGACTTCTGCTGTCCTGAAAGAGCTGTGCTCTGGTGGCTAGTTGGTGGAATCGGGTGTCACTTTATCGGCCTGCATATTCGTGGAAATGTTCCACGTCTGCACGTCGTAAGCCTTTTGGCTTGCCTGTCGTGTCATAGGCGGAGCAAACACCAGGTCCGGTTTTCTTGCAAGTGAAGGTCCCGAGAGACCGCGACGCCGATGCCAGCTGGTATAGGAGATGTATTCCACCTCTCAGTCACTGAAAACGCCCAGATCGATCTCTGGATACGAGGGCTTAGCTGAATCTGCTCTTTTCATCAGTGTCGGCCTCTGAATGGCATGAAAGTCCTCTAACATCGCCAGGAACTCGATCGACCTGTGATGCGGACACATGTCAGCCCATAGGTGACACACTGCGGGGAGGCTGACTATTTCCAGACCATGCACAGATGCACTCAGTTCCTGCCTCCACAGAACCAGGACAATGACGCTCGTCGGAAGGAACTTGCGCGGGTGAATAGGACTTAGCCATTCCAAGCTCATGTTGTGTCACCGGATCTTCGTGGCAGAATACGAAGCATCCAAGCATCTGAACTTTTGAAACGCCGGAACAAGTAAGCAGCCCAAAATATGGAGTAATGCTTAAGCTGTGCTTAAGCACGGTTGAGCGCAAGCGGCACCTTCGCATCGGGCCTCTACTCGAACGGCTCCGTCGCTCGTTTACAAGCTGAGCACTTTGGTAGTATGGCATGTTTGAGCTGCGTAGCACGACGCTTTGGTTCCAGGGACTCTTCCTCCGCGTGCGAGGCTGTGATGACGGAAAGGCAGAGAGCTTGAGTCTCGGAACGGAAGCCTGACGAGAGGCCACGTGGAGGCCGAGTGCTGTCGCGAAGTCGTGCGCAGTGGGGCGAGAGGACGTCCCGAGGGAACTTGGACCTGCATCGATCAGTGGGCAGACAGCGAAGCCGCGATCTTGGCAGCATCCTGTACGTTGATACCTGAGGGGTTGAAGCTTGCTTTTCAGAGCACAGAGGCTTATAACAAAGGAATAAGGGAAAGGGGCGTGTGGTATCATGATGGCATTCTCGGGGTATCCTGCTCAAGTCTGTACTTCTAGACGCCCAAACTGTGGCCATCGACACATCAACTGCACGTTCGTCTATATGCTGACACGCATGCTAGCGAATCTTCTCCGGCCCTTTCTGGATCGTAGTAGAAGAATTGAAGCCATAGGACCTTGCAGCATTCTACGCCTTGGGCAAAATCCGGCCGGGGGCTCTCTTGTCCTGAACGCCAGCAGACTTGACCAGCGCAATGAACTCGGCAGACCGGTTACCAACCTTCGCCTTGAAGAGGCCAACGAGAGCCTTGATCTCGATACCCGTCGGTGGAATCGCAGCTTTGACTTCTTCGATAGTTGGAAAAGCCGATTTTGTAGCCCCGTTCGTGTTAGGGCTCTGTGCGCGACTGCCGGAGGCGGCTGGCGAAGCTGCGCGAGAGCCATTTGGCGTGTTACCAGATGGCGGGCTGTTCCTGAGCTTCAGCTTAGGACGGCCAGGGCGGGAGGTGTCAGTGTCACTGCCACTGCCGGAACCGCCGGTCGAACGAGGCTTCGTCTTGGCAGCATCGGGAGAAAGCGAGCGAGCGCCTCCGTGTGCCTTGCCCAAACCAGCGCTGCCATTCAGTTTCGCTTTCTTGCGGCTGGACTCGTTGCCGCTAGCATCCGAGAGATCTGGATTTGGCCGCTTCTCTGGTCGTCCAGACGGCGTATTCGTTCCACGCGATGAGGCACCAGACTTATCGCCGTTCGGAAGAGCAGCCTTGGCGGCCTCCTCCTTCTTCTTCTCTTCGTCTTCCTCCTCCTCGGTGTCAGAGTCGAGATCGTCCGAATCAGACTCATATTCGCCCCTGTGCTCGCGCTTCTTCAGCTGCTTGCGCAGTCTACGCGCTTTCTTCTTCTCTTCCTCCTCAGCAATCTGCTTCTGGCGCTCCTCCTCCTCTGGGTCTAAATCCTCTTCTTTCACACCCGTACCGCCCAGGCCAGCTGCACGCATCTCCATCCAAAGCTTTTGCTCTATTTCCTTCTCATCTTCGCCTTCGTCACCTTGGATGAGCACGCCTTCATCATCATCTTGAAACTCGTCCTTCCAGTCCATGTCGAGCATATCGCGGTCAGCGTCAAACTCAGCGCGGTCCTCCAACCGCGGCTCGTCATCTTCGTCGCGCATCCTGCGCTGCTCCGCCACGCGCCGCATTTCCTCCCGGCGAGCTTCCTCGTTCGCTTTTTGAGTGCCCAAGCCCCATCTGTCCATTCGGACCTTCTTATTCATAAGCTTCTCGATGTCATCCGAGGTCAGATCACTCTTAACCTTGCCCGTTTGTACGAATTGATACCACTTCTCGATGGGTACCATGCGGAAGCCGTCCCGATCGAGCCGCAGCATGATACTGCTCTCGGAGAGTGCGCTTTCGTAGCTTCCCGCCCACATATTCTTCCCCTCAAAGTCCTCAAGATGCCATGGGCGCGCTTCCTCATAGCGAAGCTGCTGTCTCTTCTGGCGCGCAGGATTGCTTTCATCTCTGCCTTCTTCGACCTTCTTTTGGTTCTTTTTCTTGGTAGGCTTGCTCGAGTCGCCGCCGGTCGGGGCTATCAACTTCTGATTCTCCTCTCGCTCGGCTTGACGCTCCGCGCGGCGCTTGTACAACGCCTCGCGCTCAGTGTCATCAATCCCATCCGCTTCAGACTGCTCACCTGTCTCCATCTTGTCACGTGCATAGCGCCGATGAAGCCGCAGTGGTCGTGTAAATTGGCTCTCATCATAGGGGTCGACTACCATTGGCTTGCCGCTCTGCTCGTCCAGGCGGCTTCGCAATTTGAGCGCATGGTGCCGCAGGCCTTCCTCCAGACTGCTCTTCCTGATAAAGATGGGGAATTCGTCCCACTCTCCATCGGCGTCCTGCGCCGCTGTGGTCTGAGTGGTAGGGGGCGCGGGCGCTGGGTTTGGGGCAGATGGAGGTGCTGAGCGTTGAGTGGGTGGTCGAGCGGGTGCTGCCTTGCGGACAGGCTTCTTGGTGTTGAAGATGCTGGTCTTGGGAGCTTTTCTGCGCACCACTGGAGCTGGTCCGCCGGTATTTGGAGTGGTCGAGTTTGGGCCCGAGGGCGCAGGGGCGGGCGACGCGCTCATCTTCTAGAGCGAAATGATATGTTGAGTGGGTCGGGCGGCGGGTGGAGAGAAGGAAGCTGCGTGTCGTAGTGAGGAGGAATGCTGCGGAGTATCGCTCAATATCGGAGTAGAGTGTTGGTGATCTTGTGTTGTTGGAGAGTGCCAGTTCGAGGGCGAGTGATTGTGCAGTCGTGCGTTGCTCTTTGTTGCATCCGTCCTCATTCATTGTTGAAGCACGAGCACAGAGCATCGCGGGAGCAACCGTACGCTAGTGATGCGACACGCGCACCACACACCCCATTATCACAACTTCCAGTTCCTCTGCACGTTCAACCTGCTGCGTCCGTCATCGGGCCATGTCAAGTCAGACAACCTCGAAGAAATCACCAAAAGAGTAACAGCCTGCAGACCGAATTTTGATATGAAATATAGCTCCCGAATGGCTGCACAGGACTAAGGAAGAAAATCCACCATTTCATGGAACGCCGTCTACCATGAAGAGGTAACGCCAAGATCAATTCCACATCGAAGTGTAGACTGACGCCAGGGCTCGCGGGTCTTTCAGATCCCGTCATACTCTAGAGACTGCACCTGGTCCGCCTCAATCTCAGATCAATCTGCATCGACACCCTTCATCTCCAACCCGGCCCGTGTCCCAAGATGCTGCGGGCAACGGAAAGCAATATCCTGAATGCAACGTCGTCGAGGCCAGAGTCTCGATCGTGATCAAGACTCCATCCAATATAATAAATTCAACCTCATTGGCATAGACCTCATTACGCCACTTACCAGCCAGCTCGGCAATACCATATCCGGATCTCACTAGAATGGTCAGGTAGGCCAATGTTACTCCAACCACAAAGATCTGGACTCGCTTGAGCGAGCCGTAGTGAGCGCTCCTAATGGGAACTTCGAGCGGTTCCTCACAACGTGGTAAAAGTTAATTAACTAAAGGAGGCCTAAAGTCGCCAGAGCGATCACTTGGAAAATAATGCCGGCTAATGCGATATCTGTCCCTGCGGAAGCAGAGTGGGCGGACGAACCACCTGCTGAGATTGCCCCATTAGCAGCTTTGACGAGGATGTCCGCGGCTATGAAGACCCAGCTTTACAGTGAAGTCTGAGAAGTGAATGCTCGCTTCCTAAGGCAACCACCAAATGCTTCAAAGTAAGATGAACACAGGCGGTGATGAAGACTGGAGGAGCAAGTCAGCATGTCTGCAGAGATATGTCAGCAACAGCATATGGTGGACTTTGGGGCTTTGGATAGGTACTCCCAAATTGAGTGGTGGATCCGGTGTCGTTATATGGATCGTGCCACAACATCGATCTCCCGACATATCCGGCAGCCTCGCCTACACGACCCAGAACAAGAGTGATGGCAACTATCCAAGTCTTCCGCTTTATGCCGAAGTGGAGCCATAGAACCGTGCACAGCACAAAGACGACGAGGGAGAAAGCTTTCGCTCCGAGACTTTGCCGGTACGGAAGAGTCGTACCTTCGACACGACATTCTGCTTTCACTTCGGTGCAGTCGCGGTAGGTGGCCGAAAGTGCTTCTTCTTGCCCAGTGGAGTTTGGAAGTTGGGCGTCAGTCGTAGTTCTCAGGGAGCAAAGGCGGTCGAAATTGCAGATGTGCTTGGTCCAGAAGTCTCTTTGATCAACAACCAGCGCCGAATGCCCATTTCTATACACCTACTTTACTCAAGAACACTCATAATCCACCGAGTCACCTCATCCATTGATAACAATTTTGTACTCAGCAAATTCCCACGTCAACTTTCTTGCGCCGCAACCAAGCCAAAGCCCCATTTACGTTAATGACGTGAAGACCGTACAATGCGAGGGTTGTAGGGCCGAAAGACCAAGTAAGGTCAATGGGCTGCGACGCAGCGTGATGCTCATCACAGAACAATATCGTCGAGGGACGGCATACCGATCGGTCAAGCAGAATTCTCGCCAGCCGCTGCGGATAGAATTTGAGGTCTGGTGCTGCGCACGTGAGGGATTCTTGTAAAGCGTCGTGACTGAAGCCTTGTAAATGGCCGCCATCATCGCAAGTGCTCTGAAGCACGGATGTTGTGGGATAGTCAGGAAGGGGAGGGAAGTAGATGTAGGATGAGCTGATGACTTCTGCGTTGCCGCAGATGTGCTGTTCATTATTAGACTGCCGGCGTAGTCATTGTTACACTGTGTGAATTATCATATTTCTCATTATCGCTCGCCGCTCTTTTACATAGAAGCTGTGGCATTGACCGTAACGTTCTGGATCTGGCATCCTGTCGCGTTGTAATTTCCACCAAGGACGCTCGTCAAGAACTGCACTGCTCGTGCGTCGCCATTGGTAGCCTCAGAAGTATGTGTGCCAATAGTGTTGCGGTCGTATCGAATCGTAGCGCCAACTTCGCAGTAACGGTTCACCAACTTGTCGGTATCGTTGATCGGGCTCACCTCGTCCATGATGGCCTTGTAGGCAAAGATGGGCATTTCTGGGAAGCCATGGTATCCCATGATACCGTCTCGGTTGATGATCGTACTGGGAATCGGTGCTTGAAGCGCAGATACGCCGGTCTTGAAGTATTTTGTAATGTCCTGGTTGATATATGCCACGATTGATTCGACCAAGGTGTAGTTTCTGGTGGCAAAGAAGCCAGTGGCGTTGAATTGGCCGTCCTGATTGAGCGCTCCCTTCAAGTACTCCAAGAGCTCAGGGTACTGAGTTGAAAGACCGACGATACCAGCCGGAATGAGGCCTGCTTCGAGGGTACCGGAAACGGCAACCACGACACTAGTGACATTTGGGGTGAGACCACCGAGAGCTGCGCCAGCGAAGTTCATCTCTGGAGCATATTGTACCTGCAGCTCTGCAGCCCACTCACTCGCAAGTGCACCTCCGGAGTAGCCCCACATGGCGTACTTGGTACTATCGGTATCCAGACCGAACCCAGACGAAAGGACTGCCCGGATGGAGTCGAGTGTCGCGTGGCCAGACATGACACCGGCAGTAAACGAGGCGAGCGGTCCTTCGTAGTCTGGCACGTTGACATACAGCCCTCTCCCTAAGGCAGCGGTGACGTCCGCAACGCCAGTCGCGTACATTGCGTATGAAGGACTGGAATCCACATCTGCAGAGTCGTACGGGATTTGGTATGACAGCAGCTTGTCATTGCCATCTGGATGAGTGGGGACCAGAAGTGTTGTGACCGCCCATGCAGGCTGGTATTTGCTATTGGTGGTTCGATAAAGGATATTGTAGGCTACGCTGGAGTTGACCTGGACTCCTGTCAGGTTCCCAGGAGCTTGCCTCAGTCTGAGGATTGTTCCAGGAGCAGCAGCTTCAAAGTTATTAGGCGCGGTGTACCTTGCAGCATGTCAGCTCCGGGCTCTTTTCCTAGCGATTGAATAATTACCAAGAATCTTTGCTCGGTGGTAGTGGCGGGGCGCTGGTATTCTGAAGTCCATATGATGGCCGGCTCATGAAGGCATTTTGGCCATAAGCTGCTGTGCTCGCAGCAAGCGAGACAACTGAACCTATGAGACTGAGCTTCATCTTGGTGACGCGCAACTCGCTGGTTCAATCGGGATAAAAGATAACTCTAACGTCACACAACGCAGGACGTCGACTGTCTTTGAACCAACTGGATGGAGCAGACGCCTCGCAGTACTTGAACAGCGCATCATGAAGGTCGATGCATAAGACCCTCCAACAACTTCACGATTCGTGAGGTCATGCCGCGCCGTCCTGCAGCGTCCAACCGAGGCCAGGGCAACTTCGATGCTTCAGCATGATGCTGACCATTGCGGAGGGCGCTTGTGGAGCGTGCCTACGCGGTGGGGCTGCAGCCATCCGCTTGTAGTATGGTATAGCGCCTGTTATCAGCGGAGTCAGTATGAAAGCGATGGTAGTTTACCTCAGAGTTTCTGGGACGCGGCCGACGATGTATGATGCTTTACTCGTTTAGGTGGTGGCGTGTGAAAAGCAGATACAACACGCGGCGCAGAACTTTAACGCTCGGAGATCTGCCGGCGCATACTGATGCTCTCGTAATGGAGTACGAGAGCCGACTATCCGGTGATACTAGTGCCTGAAGCTCTCCATTTCGTCAGGATCTCTTGCGTTGTCTTTACACGACATCGACAATCTTTTCGTCTTCATCCTCCTCAATCTCCTGCACGCGCGGAGCACCTTCTTGGGCCATGGCAGACGCTCGTGCTGCTTCAGCAGGATCCGGATCTCCTGGCTCTCCTCGCATCAAAACTTGCACAAGCCGGTCGCATGCTTCTGTCACGTCCTCGTTGTCGAGATGGGCGTGTAACTCGCGAATGATTGGGTACACTTTGACGTCTCGCAGCCTCTTCCTGCCTTTGGGTGTCGATGCAAGAAGTAGCAGTGTCTCCAGATGGATGCAAATTATATCCGGTTGCGTATCGCGCTCCTTGTCTGGAGGAAGCAATTGGCACTCGTCCAGCATGCCTTCGGAATCGTCATCGGAGTATTCCTCGCTACCCATAAGTGGGAGCAGGAGGTATGGAAGTAGATTGACTCCGTCTGCGGCGAGAAGCTCCTGATGAGCGTGAAAGTCGAAGCTGACGTTCTTGATGGTGCTCGCTACCCCCCGCCGGCGAATGACAGAGGCGTGCTCTGTGAACACCACAAGCTTGGTGAGCGGGATGATGTCCTCGACCTCGGCGGCTTCGCCTTCAGCCCTCGCTGTCAGGAAATGCTTCCGACCCTCTTCGTGTTTGGCCAGATCGGCAAACAGATAGCAGAGGTAGTCGTAATCTGCGTTCTTGTTGTAGCTCCCACTCGCTCCTTTGACAAAGCAGTCCAGGAGCTGGTCAATGGCAATTGGCGAGGTTGAAAGAGGCTTGGGCACCTCTCGTTTCAACATGAGAAGCTTCGTGATGTTTGATGCCTTGGCCATATTGGCTAAAAGCATGCATTGCAGGCTTGCGTTTGGCTCTTTGGCATCCTTGATGTGGTTAGTCATGCTTCGAGGAAAAAGATGCGCGCTTACTGACATACGGTCACCCTCCGTAATATCGACTCGATGAAAGCATCGTCGTCCGCTAAGCTCTTTACGACCTCGCTGTCCTCGGAGACGTTGACAAGCATAGTGAGAGCATTCTTGGCAATTGGTCCATAGTCCTTGACCAGGAGCTTGAGGTCCTTTATAGGTTCGAGTTGATTCCGCTTGAACAGGGTTGGTTGTGCTGTTGAGTAGCCGACCAGGTTCTCAGCGGCTGCCGTAAGATGTCAGGGACTTTCTCGCTTTTCGTGTTGAATAACAAAGAGTATTCCTCACCAATTTGACCTGATGTACGTTAGACTCTGGACGAGGATTCCGTAGAAGAAGTACGTACGAATCTGGGTGTTCCCATGGTGGAGGAATTCGACGAGCTCTTCCAATTCGGTCGGCATTGTCGCCAATCTGGTCCAGGTTGATTGAGAAGCGTTTGTTGCTTCTCGAATATGCAGCGAAAATGTGATCGAGGCCGATCCTCCTCCTGACTCAGCGTCGGCTCAGCCCGCCGGATTCCCGCGTTGCGATTCGGCTCCTTGTCACACTGACAAAGACAACCACAACCACCTACTACTGATTGCGTTACGCGGACTAGAGGAGTGGTACATGGAGTCGGTATAGGATATCAGAGGATCTGAAACCGACTCGGCGAAGTCACAAAACCGCGATTACGATGAGAATCGATAGCTCAGGCCTCACTACGTGGAGGACAACGGCGCAACCATGTTCCAGCGTCTGCAGAAAGGCCTCAATCTCGACTTCCTGGACGGTAAGATAGCCGAGGAGCAAGAGAAACAGAAGCAACAACAGCAGCAACACAAGAGCGGATCTTCGGCGAAGCGTTCACCAAGTGTGCGAAGAGGCAGCGGCCGCACAGGCTCCCCGAGCACGAGGCCTAGAGCTGGGAGCAGACTGCGCGTGGCAGATGCAAAGGTTGGCGATGGGAGTCCGGCGGCGAAAGGTCCGGACCCTGAGGACTTCGTGATAGGCGATGATCTTTCAGATATGGGGAGCAGTCGCGCTCCAACGCCGCTGCCTGGGAAGGAGAGCGATGGAGAAAGTGCAGAGAAGAACGTCAAGAAGGGAGAAAGCGGCATTGATAGCAATGGCAGCAGCGGCAAGGGCAGGGAAGAGGCAGAAGAAGAGGATCTACCTTTGGATGTGCGGCAGAAGCTGGCCAAGTTGGATACACTGACCGCACGCTATCAAGGTATGCTCAAGTCCATACCACTACACAGGGATTGGATCCTTTTATTGTACTCACAGAACTCGCTATGTGTAGATCTTTTACGCAACTATCGTACCGCCCACGCCCACGTCGCATCGATAGAGCCATTCGAAGCTACCCTACGCGAACACACGCCGCTGACGTCTATTTCTGATCCCGGCGCTCTGGTCGAATTCTTAAACCAGCGTAGCTTGCAAAGCAGCATGGTTCTGGACGAGCTGAAGAAGGTTAGTGAGCAACACAAGCAAGCGCTTAAGGAGCGCGATGAGCTCAAAACCAAGCTCGAGGAAGCGGAGAAGACGACCAAGGAGGCGTTTGATCAGGCTGCCGGCCTAGAGAAAGGGGGCGATGATGTCGCAGATAGGGCTCCTGTTGAGCAGAACAACTCCGGGCCTACGAATGCAAAGGAGACCAATGGAGACGCGGCTCGTTCGACCACAAACGCGCCTGTGTCCGAGGATGACGGTGCATTCTTTTCTTACGAGGACGAAGTGTCGCGTGACACCGAGCACAATACCGCCCTTGAAAGGCTCAAGGCGGAACATGCCGTGGAAGTCAAGAAGCAGACGGACTACATTAACGAGCTGTCCGAGGAGAATGTTACCTTGACACAGGACTACGAGAGCTTGCGCCACGATATGGAGATCAAGAAACTCGATCTAGATGCCATGTATAATAAGGTCCGTGTGAGAGCCGACGAAATTGCCCACCTCGAGAATGAGAACAAGAACAGCCGCAACCAGCTGAAACAAGCTCAAGAAGCAACCGAGAAAGCGGATGCTGCTCGCGCAGATGCGGAGAATAAACATGCGGAGCAGGAGAAACGTCTGGAGATCTTGCAGAACCTTGTCAACAGGCTTAGAGAGCAGGTCAAGATTGCCGAGGACAGCAAACGAACAAAGGAGCAAGAATTCGACAGCCTCCAATTTGAAGCTAAGCGACTTGAAGCCGAGGTCAACAATTCCAGCAAAACAATTGCGCATTTGCGACAAGCCGAATCTTCTCTAAAAGACGCAAGGAAGAAGGCTCAAGAAGTTCAAGACGAACGCGACGAGGCTCAGAGGCTGCTCGCAGCCAAAAAGGGCCATGAGCAAGTTGCAGCCAGCTTGCGTAGCCAACTTAAGCAGGCAATTGCACAGCGGGATGAGGCTTATCAAACAATCATTAATTGTGGCAAATGTGAGAGGGCTGAGATTCAGAAGTCCACAGCCGATGGTGGAAAACCAGATGGAGGCAGTGGAGGTGACGGTAGCGTTCAGACCTCCAGCATGGATACTGGCAGCGCACCTGAGCCGCGATCTCGCGGTGGTTCAGAGGCCACCATTTCGAGTAGCCTGCCCCCGGGAAGTGAGGCTCAAACGCCAGCGACAGAGGCCGCAGACGAACTGGCTAAAGCTGGCGAGGCAAAGAAAAAGAAGAACAAGAAGAAGAAACCGAAAGCCAAGAAGAAGTCTGATAATGAGACAGACATTACATCGTCGTCTGCGTCTCTCGCCACCAGCCAGGAGGTGACTGTCGAAGACCTCCTCCGCGATCCAGAGCTGGCACCCGACGTTTTGCTCAAGGCCAAATTTGGGGATAATCCCATGGTGCCTCTTCTCGCGCAGATAACGAATGCCATGAAGGAGAGAAGTGAGGCTGGTGACGAGGGCGAAGAGGCGCGAAGATATTTGGAGGACCTCAACGAGCAGCTGACCCAGAACATCACCGACAAGGATAAGATTCTTCGGGCCAAGGCCGAGGAAATCCTCGAGCTCCAGGCCAATCTGGCAGAGAAGACCGATTTCTTGCAAAGTACGGAGCAAGACAAGATGCAGACCGAACAGCGCAAGAAGGAAGTAGCATCGCTGCAAGCCACCATCGCAGAGAAGGATACCCAGATAAAGAAATTTCAAGAACGACTCCATGGCGAGTCGGCTTTATTGGAGCAGATTGAGGAGCTTAAAGAAGAGAAAGACTCGCTTCAGGAAAGCATGCTTGAGCACGGAACTGATGCGACTAACGCCAAGCATGAGCTAAAGGAGACGCGAGACCGTTGCAACAAACTACAGGAAGAGTTTGACGAATTGCAAAGGGAAGCCGATAACCGCCGCAAGAAAACTAAGGACGCTGAGGCCCAAAGAGACACCCTCAACACTCGCTGTGCCGACTTGGAGTCCGAAATTTCGACGCTCAAGAACAAGAGTGTTTCCCGTGATGAGCTCGAGGGCGTCAAAGAGCAACTCGCTAGCACTATCAAGGAGAAGCAGTCTCTTCAATTGGCGAAAGAGACGTGTGAGAAGGAACTTGAAGAGCTTAAGTCTGCCAAGGGAGACGAACTTGACGCGAAGAATACCTCCCTCCTTTCGGACTTGGAAGCACTTCGGACAAGGACCTCTGAGTTGGAGAAAGAGCTTGCCGATGCAAATCAGCTCGCGCAGTCCCGATACAAAGATCTCTGCGACGTGCGAGGCCATTACCACGAAGCTCAAGTGCAGTTGAAGAGAATCACAGATGAGCTGGCGGAGCTGAAGAACGTCAAAGCTGACTTGGAGAAGTCCCAGTCGAGCATCAAGAGGCTGGAAGCGAGACAGAAGGATCTCACATCAGAGATCGCGGAATACAAATCTCAGGCGAGTGAGAAGGATCGCGAGATCGTCACCCTCAAAGACAAGGTTAAGAAGGGCGAGGAACGGAGCTCGGCTCTTGAAGATTCTTACGAGACCGCCCGCAAGGACCTGGAAAAGAGCGAAAGCATGCGCAACGAAGCGCAAGACAGCCGTGAGAAGCTTCAAGGTGAATTGAAGAAGACCCAGGATGATCTCCGGAGGTCGCGGCCTCGCCTCGACGAGCTGGAGCAACAGGTCAAGAAATTGACGGATGAAGCTTCGAGCCTCAGAGACGAGCTTCAGCTGAAGGCGGCTCAGCAAGCCAGTGCACAGAGTCTCATGGACAGTATGCGGGACGAGAGAAATGAGCTTGCGACGCAGATGAAGGAGGTCAAGGACAGGAATGAAAGTCTTGAGGAGGAGATCGCCGACGCTCATCGCCTACTGTCCGAACGCGGTCGTGAGGGAGAGACGATGCGTAGATTGCTGGCCGATGTCGAGAAGCGGGCGGAGACGACGGTCAAAGAGATGAAGGAGAAGATGGACCTCGCCATTGAAGAACGCGATCGGGCAGAAGATGAAGCCAGCACCATCGGTCGCCGCAAGGCACGGGAGATTGAAGATCTCAAGAATAAGCTTCGCGACGCTGAGCGGGAGGCGAACCGAGCGAAAGAGGCTCGTGAAGAGGCTGAACGCAAAGAAGCTTCGTCCAAGAGCCGGCAGACGGAACTGCAGGAAGCTGCCACCAGGGCGCAAGAGAGCTTGAACGAAACCCGCAAAGCCATGGCTCAGTTGCAGGAATCCTTTGACGAGACAGACCGTCAGTCGCGCGAGCTGGAGAAGGAAAAGCTCCAGCTTCGAAAAGAGCTCCAGGAACGCGAGACCCGTATCGACAAGATCCAGGCTTCTTCCCGGACCATGGCAGAGGAGCTCAAGACACTGAGATCAATGGGTAATAAGCAGAGACCGGGCAGCGGCACGCCTTCCCGATCGTCGGTGGACTCTTCGAGGGTAACCTCGCCCGTCCCTCGAGGGAACACCCAAGCGGCGTCTAAAGACGGCGGGCCTGATCTGGGATATCTCCGGACGGTACTGCTCCAGTTCTTGGAACAGCGGGAGAAGAAGTATCAGATGCAGCTGGTGCCCGTCCTGGGGCAGCTGCTTCAGTTTGGAGAGGAGGATCGGAATAAGCTCATGGGCATTGTTACGAGCCGATAGGCGCGGCGGTCGACAGGGGCGCACGCAAGACATGGTGTTTATCTGCCGCTACAGCCGGTTGTTGCTGCTTTCTGGTCGGTGACGGGAGTTGATCGCTTGGAAAGGCCCCGGTCTGGATGGCCGATGGCTGGGGACTGACGCAACACGTGGAAGACTTAGGCATGGGTTCCCTGAGTTTTGTCACGTCAGGCGTGATATTCTTGGCTTCGCCCTGATGAGCCTCTTCGCCGACCCCAGGACGCGGTCATTATCTTTTTGGTCTGCAGAGATAGCCCTCACTGTACAACAACAACAACAACAACAACAACAACAACATCTTTCTCGTCATATGCCATGCCAGGAGGGAGGCGTTTGCCGATGGAACCGGTGTCGATCAGTACATGTATCGAGCACAACGATTACTGTATTGTACATATAGCTTTCACAGGCAGAGCGGACTCGACTCGAGGAAGTATGAAATATATATTGTTTGATGAGATCCTCTTCTCTACGGAAGGAGCGAGCTATCTATATGCGAAGGCGGCTTGCTGGGATCGCACGTCGCGATTTGCACTGCACTGCTCTCACGCATGGCAGAGAGCTTTGGGAAAGTGATCGTCGGTGCTATGTGTACTATGCCGGGGCTCTGGTGGCTAGATTGCTTTGGGAGTGTGGGAGTGCTTTGTTCTCGCTACCAGCGCGTTGGGTTGGGCGCTGTTCATAATTGATATGGAGGTCGTGGTGGTGGAAGATGATTCATTGTGTGGGCTGCGCTGCATTGTGAACAACAATGTTGGAGCTGCCTGCTGTTAGTACTGTCAAGGTAGGCGATTTGTTCTCCGAGTGGTTTCGCCCCGATGACTGCTTCTGTCCCTTTCTTTCTTTCTCTCTTTCGCCGAAGTGGCGCGGCTTGTGGGTCAAGCGTCTAGAACAAGCTGAGGCGAGATCTTGCAGCAACTTCTCGGATGAGTATACCGTGCATCGATACGCGTCCATGTTCCGGCGTTTGCGAGACGCGAGGCCAGAAGATTGATTACTTCTCGACTTTGGCCATTGCGGCAGGTCGTGCATGGAAGGGTTTCCTGTTTCTTTGGGAGCAGGGCATCAAGCAGGTGACGTCCTCGCATGTGTGGTCCTGAGTCGTGCTGGGCGCCAGAGGCTTCCGCCACCATCACGCTGTGAACCTACGAGGAGGTCGGTTGGGAGGACCTGTGGACTTTGCAAGCTGCTGCGTTGCTGGTGTTGCAGCTGGGTGATTATTGGGTTCCGGCATCTCTTCTGCCTGGCAGCAGCTGACCGTCTGTGTTTCCTTCCATCACCTTTCACAGCAATTACCAAGGCGTCTGTATACGGCGTTGTTGTTGTTGTTGTTGTTGTGTTGATCGAGGAGGAAGACCCCACATCTCATGGTGGTCGAGTTAGCGCGGCGTGTGAGATGGCGTTGAATTAATCCATCGACCTGATTTGCTGGCGGTTGTGGTTGTGCGGGAATCCTGTTCATCACGTTCCTCACTACCCGCGCCCGTCGTCTGCCGTGCCGCTTCGTCTTCGTGGCTGCTGTTGTCGTCGCCGTGTGGTTGTTGTTGTTGTCAGCTCATCATCCTGCAAGAATAATAATTCTGCCTGAAGAGTTGCTATTACCTTAGTTGCTATATCATTCCACCAACCCCCCCTCTCACACGTCACCGCCCGCCCCGGAGCCAGGCGCGATTTGGGTTTGTGCGCTGTGCAGGGGAGAGAGATCTCAGTCGTAGACGCTGGCGCTGCTGCGGGACGAGAGGTCGGGAGTCGTTCACCTCTGTCTCATGCGCCGTCGGTGGTGGTACTGCTGTCGCCGCTGCTCCCTCCGCCCACGCCGTCCGGACAGCGCTCGCCGGGCTACTGCTGCGGCTACTGCTACGGCTACTGCATTCGTCCCAAGCAAAGCAGAGCAGCATCATCGCACCTCGACCAGCACTGAGCCCTCCCACCACTGCCGAGCTCGGCCGTGTCGCAGTCTAAAATAATCCCGCACCTTCCCTGCTCCCTTCCCATCGCCGCCCGCCAGAATGAACCACGGCGGCGAGAGTCTGAAGAAGCAAGCCATTCAGAAAGCCAAGAACATTGCCCACGCCGTCCCGTCGTCGAGCAGTAACAACAACAACAACAACGGCAACGGCAGCACGGGGAATGGCAAGAAGCGCCGCAAGCAGGATCTGAAGCCCATCATCACCACCGAGGAGCAGCAGGCGGCGGGTGGAAACAACAACAACAACAACAACAACAACAACCCATATAGGTGAGCAGCCCCATCTCAGCATCTCCTGTCCTGAATCATGCACTTGGGCAGCACTGGTGGTGAGGTGGGCGCGGCGCGGCGCGGAATGGAAAGGGAAGCGGCAGCACCGCCAGTGGCAGCGGCAGCGGCAGCGACAGCGACAGAAGCAGAGGAGGAGACGGCGGTGGTGAGTGATGAGAGGTGAGGCTCATTTCATGAACTTCATCAATTCATCACTGCTCCTACCTACATGTACCGTCGTCGCTGGGCTCGGCTTCTGCTCTGCTCTGCTCTGCTCTGCTCTGTGCTGTAGCTGTGCTGTGCTTTGCTTTGCTTTGCCCGCCTCCGCACGCCGCCGCCGCCGCCGCGACGTTTTAACTCCAGGCCCGAGACTTTCCTTGGCCAACATCGCTGCCCAGCCCAGCTCCATCCTGCCCACCTACCACCTACCACCTACCACCTACCACCTACCACCTACCTTACCCAAACTACCTAGCCTGCACCCATCCACCACCCACTGACCTGTGCTGCGCTGTTGACCTCACCGTCACCAACCTGCACACTGCACTCACACGCCGCTGCGCCTGCGCCTGCTCCTGCTCCTGCTCCTGCACCTACCACCTACCACCGAAACCCCCACATCCCCATCACATCATCCGCCACACATCCATGGAAACCACTGACCTGATCGCGCCCTCGCCGCTGTCATGATCTCTGCCTCCATATAATGCTGACCCCCGATCCGCACAACAGCGCGCAGAGCAACCAGTCCCCGTTGAACCACAGCAAGCCCGTCTACGGACACGACCTCCACCAATCCCCCTCCGGCTCCGAGTCCTCAGGCGACGAGGGCACCGAAAACACGGCGGACGAAGAGGACTCCGAGGACTACTGCAAGGGTGGTTACCACCCCGTGCAAGTAGGCGAACAATACAAAGATGGCAAATACACCATAGTGCGCAAGCTGGGATGGGGCCATTTCTCCACCGTCTGGCTGTCCAAGGACAACACCACCGGCAAGCACGTCGCCCTCAAGGTCGTTCGCTCCGCCGCGCACTACACAGAGACCGCGCTCGATGAGATCAAGCTGCTCAACAAGGTCGTCGAGGCCAACAAGGACCACCCGGGCCGGCGCCACGTCGTGAGCTTGCTCGATTCCTTCAATCACAAGGGACCGCATGGCATGCACGTCTGCATGGTCTTTGAGGTGCTGGGCGAGAATTTACTGGGTCTGATCAAGCGATGGAACCACCGCGGAATCCCCATGCCTCTCGTCAAGCAGATCACCAAGCAAGTGCTTCTCGGACTCGACTACCTGCACCGCGAGTGCGGCATCATCCACACCGATCTGAAGCCCGAGAACGTCCTCATCGAAATCGGCGACGTCGAGCAGATTGTCAAGACATACGTCAAGGAAGACGCCAAAGAGAAGGACGATCACCGCAATGGCCGCCGACGGAGACGTACTCTAATCACCGGTAGCCAACCTCTCCCGAGTCCCCTCAACACCAGCTTCTCACAGTCCGATCTCGCCGACTTCCCCGGCAGTACACAGAGCTTGAACAAGATTGTCAGCGAAGGAAAAGGTAATTCGCCCATCAAAGGGGCGTCGCCGACGTCCAAGGATGGCGCTGAAATGAGCGGTGCTATAGGATCTTCATCACAAACCACGCCGCCAAAATCGATGCTCGAGAGTCTCGGCATCAAGGCCGATGCATCCGGTGCTGAGGCCCTGTCTTCCGACAAGGACCCGCAGAAAGAGAGAGAAAAGACCGCGTGAGTAGACTCGCCTCCAGTGGCCCTCAGAGTGTTCAGGTGTGACTGATTGCAGACGCAGCGAAATCCTCGCAAATAATGTTTCAGATATGGATCTTGGCAAGTCCCACGCCGTCAAGCCCAAGGAGACGGGCAAACAGGACGATGGCATCGACATCATTTCGGTCAAGATTGCAGATCTGGGCAACGCATGCTGGGTAGGACACCACTTCACAAACGACATCCAAACCCGGCAATATAGGTCGCCAGAGGTCATCCTTGGCGCGAAGTGGGGCGCCAGCACGGATGTTTGGAGTATGGCATGCATGGTAAGCTGAGAATCGGATTCAATATGTCTTGATGAGACGTCTGACGGTGGCGCCAGGTGTTTGAGCTGATCACTGGAGACTATCTCTTCGACCCGCAGTCAGGCACCAAGTACGGCAAGGACGACGATCACATTGCGCAAATCATCGAGCTTCTGGGCACGTTCCCCAAAAGCTTGTGTATTTCGGGCAAATGGTCGCAGGAGATATTCAATCGCAAGGGAGAGCTGCGCAACATTCACCGCCTACGACACTGGGCTCTACCGGACGTGTTGCGGGAGAAGTATCACTTTTCGGTCGAGGAGAGCAAGCGGATAGCGGATTTCTTGCTGCCCATGCTCGAGCTGCAGCCTGCAGAGCGGGCCAACGCTGGCGGGATGGCCAATCATCAGTTCTTGGACGGCACGAAGGGCATGGACCCGGTGAAGCTGGAGATACCCGTGGGAAGCAAGGGTGATGGCATAGAAGGCTGGTCGACAGAGGTCAAGAAGGTGCGGTAGGCCTCGGCGTCTCAAGCCGATTACGAGACACGTCTTGAGGTTCCCCTTCAGACACGGCTCCCTGAGCGCGGATGAAAGTGGATGGGAAACGGGCCCCTGGGAGGCGCTGGGCGCTTTATTGGAGCAGCCTTTTGCTTTTCGTGAGGCGGTTACGGATGTCTTCTTCGTTCGGGCGGCTGGGCGGGAGCATATTGACGAGACGACGACGACCCCCTTTTCAAACCTTCTACACGCCTTGTGCTTTTCCGAGAAAGAATCCGCCTTTGTTTTGACCACCCGCAGCTACAGTAGGGGGGTCACTACATGGCAAAGAGAGAGAGAGAGACGAAGGACGACTTTTTGCGAGTAACGAGATGTTTATATGCCACCACACACAAGACACTCATTTTCGCAAGGGCTTTTAATACTGACTTCTTCCTCCTACTGGCAGGCGTGAGCGTGCTGTAGCAAATAGAAAGAGAACGAGAAACCATTGATCAAACCACACTGGAGTTCACTCAGGAGCGTTTTTGAGTCTCATGAGATCAGGTGATGTCAGAGCTGATGTGAGGGATGGAATCGAACGACTCACAGGTGGGGAAGATGAGGTTACCAGACGAGACCAGACCGCTCTTCAGGTGCCAACTCGTACGACTGACGACTGACGACGCTTGCGCTTAGGTTGTTCGCCTACGACACGTGATAGAGGGTCTTGCGGTAACGGAGGGACCTTTTGAGTTTTGTTCGCGGACGGGCTGGCAGATCGGCCGATTAGATAGATACCCGTCGAGAGATGCTTCTTCTATATGTGGAATTATTATATCGTTATAGGAACAGACGGTCTAGAGAGGTTTTGTCCTTGCTGGCATGACCCATGCAAATGTATCGTGTGGACACGCAAGATCTTAATGCTTACCGAAATTTGGACTGAAAGGAGGGCGGGTAGTCCCGCCGCCCCAGCTGCAGGTAACTTGGAAGGCAGCTGCAGGGTCCACACGTCAGGGACAGGGCCAATCGATTCTGGCCTCTTGCACCATGAACGCGGCAGAAAATCGAACCACTTCACGACGCGGCGGCGGGCGATATCATTTCTAAGATCCTTCGACTTCCTTCACCTCAACAACATTCTCCAATCCACCCCTCGCTTTGCTGCGCACCTGCCTGGACTCTCAGTGCCGCCGTCGACACCATGTCGCTGACACTCGGCATGGATTACTTGTGAGTTCCGCCTCTTTCTTTTTCCCCCCATCTGTTGCTGTGCTTCATCAACAAAGTGGAACAACGGGAACAGCCCGATCCACGCCACAACATTTGCTCCATTTTCTCGCATACACTACGTCTCGCTCTTTTCTGGGAATTCGTACTGACCCAATGCCTTTCTCTCCCAGCAACAATGCGAACTACACCTCGATCGCTGACGCCATGCTCCCGCATACCCAAAACACCTACTGGCACGAATTCGCCGAAATCTCCAAATACAACGTCTCCCTCAACTACTTCGAGCGATTATGGGCGGCGTGGTACGCGTTCATGGGCAACGATGTCCTCGCTACGGGGATCATGAGCTTCGTTATGCATGAGGTGGTGTACTTTGGAAGGAGTCTGCCGTGGATCATCATCGATCGCATACCTGCTTTGAACAAATACAAGATTCAGAACGTATGTTGGATACGAAACGAACAACCGGGTGAGGGAAGAGAGGCTGACCTCTTTGGATAATAGCAAAAGATACCTTCGGCCAAGGAGCAATGGGACTGCGCGATGCTCGTGCTCTTTTCGCATTTCACCGTCGAGCTGCCGCAGATCTGGTTCTTCCATCCTATGGCGCAATACTGTGGTCTTGAAACCAGCGTCCCCTTCCCGCCGATTTGGAAGATGGCCTACCAGATCGCAATCTTTTTCGTTCTCGAGGATACCTGGCACTACTGGACACATCGCGCCATGCACTGGGGCCCGCTCTACAAGAACATCCACAAGATCCACCATCAGTACTCCGCACCATTCGGACTCGCGGCGGAATACGCCTCGCCCATCGAAGTTATGATCCTTGGTCTGGGAACGGTTGGCTCGCCCATCCTCTGGTGCGCCCTTACCAAGGACTTGCACATCTTGACAATGTACATCTGGATTGTGCTCCGTCTGTTCCAGGCCATCGACGCGCATTCCGGCTACGAGTTCCCGTGGAGCTTGCACCATTTCTTGCCTTTCTGGGCTGGGGCTGATCACCACGATACGCACCACGAGAAGTTCATTGGCAACTACTCGAGTTCGTTTCGATGGTGGGATTACGTTCTGGACACGGAGAGCGGACCGGAAGCGGCGAAGAGGAGACGCGAGAGGCGAACGGCGAAGATGAAGGCCAAGGCGCAATAGACGCCTGCAAGCTTGTAACGCATGTCTTTATTTCGAAGAACTCGACAGCTGGAACGAAGTGCTACATTCTCGCCTGGGTTGGTTATCGCGTGCATGCGTAAACGGCGTTTTCTGGTAGTTAGCGAGTGGGCTTTTAGTCGGCTGGCTTGGTTTTCCCTTGAGCGAAGGGCTCGCTCGACGTGTGTACAATTGAACTGGCGATACCTGTGGACGGTTTTCGATGAGGAAGTAAGATAGACAACGAGTCGACCTACCTATTATGAGCAGAAGGATAAGTTTACTGTATAAATTGATGAATGAAAAGGAACAAGAACAACATCAACATTTGGACATTGAGACTGAAAGGTTAAGTGTTTGTCGGCTGGGACTCGAGGTCTGTAGTCATACTTCGAACGGACGTACGATGCTTGCAAGTAGTGCATTCTTCGTGTACGTTTCCATTTCTTACTGGTTGGTAAGGTTGTAAGAAAAACCGGGAAGCTGCCAGGTGAGCTGTTGGTCGACCCCAGATCTTCAACACCAGACATCAACACAACTACGTCACTTCCAACACGTTCGCCCTCTCGTCGCGTCTCTCCATCTTCTTTCCTCTTCTCAACAAATCTACATCCCATCACGACCTGAGCTCCATCTCTCCCTCTGAACGAAATGACCCTCCTCCCGCGCCTCCGAACAGCCAGTCCTCGGAGAATCTAGCGGATCACACGACAGGCTCCTCCCGCAGCAGGCGCGTACAAAATGAGTTTCGTCTTGGACCAGGTCCAACGGATTGATGCTTCTCTCGATCGCTTCCAACTGCGACTCGCGGAAGATGAAAAATGCGGCGTGAAGAGTAGTGAGGTGGTTGGAAAAGAATTGGATCCCCAAATTGTTGCGTTGCAGGGTGCGATTCGGGGGCTCTCTGCTCCTGCTGACGGGAGCAGCAGTGCGAAAGGGTTGGTGAAGATCGGGACGATCCGGGGGCTCTTGAAAGTTTTATTGAGTGAGGATGTCGCTGGGGCGCAAGGGGCGGCGGAAGACGACGACGACGCAGCAGCAGCAGGGCGGAAAGATGCGTATCGGGAAGAGCTGGAGTGGTTGTTGGTCTGCAAAGCCACGACGCAGGTCTATGGACATGTGCTGGACAGGATCCTCGAGGAAGCGGTGAATCTGAGTGAGGATCTCTGGTACTGGGATGAAGTGCTCTCTTCGCGCGCATACACGGCCCTCTACAGCGTTCAGACTTCTCCTCTCCGTCTATGGGCTTGGACGGGGATGGTCTGGCAGGATGTCAAATCACGCGGAGGGAATTTCAGTTTCCAGGGAGTAGGGCAAGATGCGCAGGATACCGTCACGGGGCGATGGAAGGAATTCTATGGATTGGTCAGACAGGTGGTGAAGGAGAGAAGTGTGAAGGAAGTGCACAAACAGCTCTTGTCGCCCGTGACTAGGATTCGCAGCGAGGTGAGGCAGAAGCAGGAAGCGCTGAAGAGGGTGCGGATACGGCATGCGAATGCCTTGGGCGTTCTCCTGGGTGAAGGGTTGGGGAATGAGAGTACGACGGGGGGCGTCTTTAACATCCTCCCGAACGCGCAGACGCAGTATTTACAACGCAAGTTGCGGGCTTCCATCGCGAGGAACGTGGGCTTGATGGAGGCTGTTCTGCTCAAGATCAATGACTCGAAGACTCCGACTGAAAAGTTCGATGCGGCTGTGGGAGAGCTGACGGATGATGATCCGTACTTCACTTCGGAGTCAGCGGACCTCAACCTGCCTGCGCAGGCAGTCGCGGAGAGGCTTGCGAGGGTGTTGACGCTTGGCCTGTCGCAGTATCAGACTTCTACAAGCTTGGCGGTTCAAGAGCATGGAAAGCCTTCCAGGGTGGTGAGGTACTGGCTTCCTGTGACGATTGGTGTTCTCTCGTCAAGCACGATACTTCGAATACTGGCGCACCGCCAAGCAGAAGTGGTACAATGGATCCAAGACTTGGGGACGACCGTCGTGGATTTCTGGCAGAACTGGGTCGTGGAGCCTACAAGGAATCTCATCAAGACAATACGGCACGACGAGGGTAGCGAGATCAGCATCATGTCTAAGCGTTCTCTGGAGGGCGATCGGGATAGCCTGGAGAGGATGGTTGTCGACTTTGCCATTGATAATCCCACCAACGCGACTGGGTCCAACTCAAGCCTTACGGAGACCGAGATTGCAGATATCCGGTCGAAGGTCCGGGAAGGCGATTTGACACCAGTACTCAAGGCTTATGAGAAAGACTTGACGTCGCCATTGATGGGAGCTGTCCGTGGCAATCTGATCCGAGCTCTTCTTATCCAGATTCAGAAGACGAAGGTGGATGTTGAAATTGCCATGGGAGGGATCGACTCTCTGCTCAAGTCACAAGAGCTTCTGATCGGCTTCATAAGCCTGACACCAGGCCTGTTGGTCGCATACGGTGTCACGCGCTACATTCGCGCTTCGCTGACCCAGAAGCGTGGCTCCAAGGCTCAACGCAAGCAAGGCAAGATGCTCCGCCAACTCCGCAATGTTGACCGCATCATGACCAGCAGCACGCCGACGGAATACGGAGAGCTGTCGTACAAGGATCAAGGACTGCTCCTCTGCGAAGTGCACGTACTGAGAGAGGCAGCCAGGATGACGATGCCTGGGGAGATCTACCGGGAGTTTAGCGAGGAGGCCGACGAGCTTTGTGATGTGCGCGTGGGGATCGAGAGGCAGAAAGCTGTTGCGAGTCGAATGAGATGGGCGTACGGGAAATGGCTCACCTAGAAGCACGCATATGAAATGGCGTTTGGCTGATGATGAAAGCATGGGGTCAATAGCGACAGTCGATGGATGGGAGTAGGAGTGGTCACAGTGAGATTCTTTACTAGCACAGCATGGCGCAGGCGAGGCAGCGGAGAATACGATACGATTGACTGTCTTCCTGCTTGATTCCAGATCTGAATATTTTCTTGCTGTCTTGCCAACGAAGCTGTTTATTAATCAAGTATTGTTTAATGCGCTGGTCTGAACCTTGGCGGCCATTCATGTGACTGGAGGCAATTTAAACTCAGGCGGCCCAAGCGCGGCGCGGGAGGGCGAACCAGAGCAATCGCAGCACTTCAACGTCGCTTGATTCCAATCCTTCCGACGAGAGCTTCCTCTCCCTCACACACACCCACACCCCCCTCGCCCACTCGCCCTCGCACCACGAACGGCGACGCCGACTCACCGCACGAACCACCGACGGGAGCTTGCCGTTGTCCGAGACGTGCGCAAGCAGCCAGTTGTCTAAGACTCGCCTCTTTGACCCTCTCCTGCTTTCCCCACAGCAACCCGACCGCAGCTCCAGGCAGCACGAGAACGAAGCGTGCAGCGTGCGAGCAACACCAAACGATCCCCACGTGTACGAACGACGGACTAAGAAACTGCTGCCGCACGGACACGAGGACCGAGAGCGAGGCGTGTTTGTCGTTCAACGACGTTTGATCTGGGCTCGCGCGACCGACTTTTGACCAGACGAGAGATATCCGTGGTCTTGGGACTGCGCCGTTGCTATCATGGCAGGCACGAGGAATTATGACTTTCTGGTAGGTGCATACATCTCCTGTGTGGGTGAGCAGCGGGGAGGGGGCGAGTACCAGGCGGTGGGGCAGCAGGGGGCGGGCGGACGTTTTATGAAAGACTGACCATGGCTTGCAACACGACAGATCAAACTCCTCCTCATCGGCGACTCGGGTGTAGGCAAGTCTTGCTGCCTGCTGCGCTTCAGCGAAGACTCCTTCACGCCCTCCTTCATCACGACGATCGGGATCGATTTCAAGATCAGGACGATCGAGCTCGACGGCAAGCGGGTCAAGTTGCAGATATGGGATACCGCGGGTCAGGAGCGTTTCCGGACCATCACCACGGCGTACTACAGAGGTGCCATGGGCATTCTGCTGGTCTACGATGTCACAGACGAGCGCAGCTTTAACAGTATGTGGACACGTGAGGTCGGTCTGGAAGAGCGGTGTGCGCCATGCTGACTGACTTTCTTCATCTCCTCAGACATCCGGACATGGTTCTCCAACGTCGAACAGCACGCGACCGAAGGCGTCAACAAGATCCTCATAGGCAACAAATGCGACTGGGAAGAGAAGAGAGCCGTCTCCACCGAGCAAGGTCAGGCACTGGCGGACGAGCTCGGGATCCCCTTCATGGAGGTCTCGGCCAAGAGCAACATCAACGTGGAAAAGGCATTCTACAGCCTGGCGGGCGATATCAAGAAGCGCATCGTGGACACTCAACAACCGCAGCAACAGTCGCAGGCAGGCGTGAGCGTAGCGCCGGGAGGAGGAGCCGCAGGCGGCTTGGGCAAGAACTGCTGCTGAGCGCGAAACGTGAGCAAAGTTCCAGCTGCCTTTTGACACGGAAACGCAGCAGCGGTGTTATAATCCGGGTGTCTCTTTGGTTGACTGGGGGAATTACCCGGGGTTTTAGAGAGTGAGAGGGAGACTCTGCCTGGAGGACAATCACGGCGTTCAATGGCGTTTCTCGTCCGTCTGTTGCAGTAGTGATGCATGCATGAACCAGAGCGGACACGGGCAAAAGGGCTGAGAGTACCAAACAATCGGATATGGCATTGTGCAGTCTTTGTTTATTTTTTCCTCCCTTTTCTTTTGCTTCGTCTCACCATGTTCGTTCGGAAGAGAAATACTCTCTGCCTCTTCCCAAAACCGCTGGCTGCCGAACCCACCTCATTCATCTCGCGCAGCTTCCATGCATGTGATTTTCCAAGATGGGAAGCCGGGCGGGCTCGGTCGAATTGCTAAAGGAATTGGAAGATACGACGCGCCGTCCATTTATTCCCTTCTGAGGCAGCCACGACTACTGCAATGCACACGAATGAGCTTCTGCTCTGATCAGCTTCGGCTTCGGCTTCGGCTTCGGCGTTGTGTTCGTGCGACGAAGGTAAGTATGGTATGGCTTTCTTCCTCCCTGAAGTTGATAGATACTAACTCTGAAAACAGTCAACGTTGGGGAATTCTCGCTAGCCATATCCCCTGTGTCTGTGTTTTTTTTTTGAGTCGGGGCAAATAATGACGAAAGAGCTTGACAAGGAGGAAGAAGCTAGCAAGCAGGGCTGTGAGTGTGGGATGTTGTGGTGTTGTGGTGGTGTTGTGATGGAAGTGATGCGAATGGGTATGGTGATAAGTGAACCCTCAGAGGGGACGACGGACGTGGTGGTGCTGTTGTTGTTGTTGGAGATATAGAAGACACGGGAGTTATTAAGAGAGAGAGAGAAACAAACAGAAAGGAAAAGAAGAAAGGATGCGCTGGGAGAGTAAGGTAGGATTGCGGAGGTGGTAGAAATCCTCTACCGCAATGCTATGCAATCGTACGCTGAGATGCTCGCGATGACTGATTCTTCTCGCCCCTTTTCCTGGCTTCGTTCTTCGAGGCCGCGACTGTTGGGGGATACTAACACTTCCTCTTCCTCATCTTCCTCTTCCTCTTCTTCCTCTTCCTCATCTTCCTCTTCCTCTTCTTCTTCTTCTTCTTCTTCTTCTTCTTCTTCTTCCTCCTCGTGTTGGACTTGTTAGTAATCCCCCCGTTGCAAGAGTAGACGGTGGCTGATCCAGGGTTCGATACAAGGCATAGCGAGATTCCCGATCACTTACTTCTACATGGTCGATTGCCTTGTGCACGGCACGGGATCACTTTGAATAAGTCAATGATGCTCTTCACGGTGTACTCCGGGCTCAAATTGTCCGATTGATAGGACGATGTGCTGCTGATGGAGGAGGAAGAAATGTTT